GGATGAAACATAACCGGGAGCTGTGCGTCCTGCAGCTCCCACCTGCCCACCGAGGTAGGGTAGCAGAGCTGGGTAAGAGAGCTGAGAACCCCGCTACAGGTCCTGGTTCATCTCTGCGGGGCCACGAAGAGCAGGGATATTTCAAAATGATGTTTTGGGGGTTAGCTCCTGCTTGGGGAGGCTGCCCTGGGAGATGCAGACAGCCCGTTACAAAGGCAGCAGGCCACACAGCACCGCCTGCCCGATAGGCATTTAATCTTGTTTTCATTTTCGTGCTTTCAAAGGTTAATTTCAGAGAAGCCACACGCAGACATCAGTCCCTTCCTCACATGTTCCTCACGCTGCCTTTAACCTTGCCGTAAAGGCTCTGTTCCTGCAGAGACAACACAAAGCGCCCCTCTGGGAGCAGCTGAGATGTTCACCCATTATTGACGAACGCTCCCACAACACCCAGTAATTCATATTTAATCGTGGCTGAGTGGTGTTGTGGGTGAAAGATGAAAAGCTATGCAGGAAAATAGATCCTCTTGCCCCCAGCCAGAGCTACAGGTACAACGGGGAGGAAGTGCTCCCAGACCTCATCTCCCTTGAAGGTCTCAAGGCTTTCGGGACATTGAGGCAGCTCCTACAGCCTCATCCTGGGTGTGTGTGTGAATTACCCCCTCCTCCGTCCCGTTCCTTCAGGTGGAGTTGTGTAACGCGGGCAGCTTTTCCCAGCTCTCCTCCATCTCTGGGTATTAGCTGCAGGATTAGGTCTCCCCCGTGTCAGACCCCGGGGAAGGACTGGGAGTTCATCCAAGGTCCAGGCCTTTGTTGGGTTTGCACATCGTGCAAAGGGTCAGTACTCCCGAGGGCCTTTATACGGAGCCCAAATCATAGCAAATTAATAGGATTTTGTGCAGGAATGAGGAGGATTTGCTTTCTCCTCGTATTTATTTGGACTAGCGCCGATAAGAGCCCGGGGATTTTCCAGACAGCACAGCCTCTGCTCAGATTTCTGCAAACAAGCCCCTGCAGACAGACAGACAGCATGGGAGGGAAACAACCACCAGGCAGGATTCGTTATGGTCACCTCTTAGCCACGCCACGTTAGCGTTCGGCACTCCAGGCTGCGGGATGCAAACAGACTGACTCGAGGAGGAAAATGAAAGCAGATTAGCTTGCACTTGAAAGAAAAACAAAGGAGTGCTTGAAGCAGCAATGCCTTGACCCCGTGAGCTCTCTGGCTGCACATGGGCTGGGGTGGGACCAAAAAAACACCCAAAACCCCAGAAAACTCCAAGAACCCCAGCTGGTTAAGTGCCCCACTCTGGGCCAAAGCACCACAGGGAGGCCCACAGAAAGCGGTTTCCTGATGTAAAGAAATATTTAAAGATTTCTCTCAGACCTCCATCTTCCTTCTACTTCAGTTCTTTGGGAAGGAAATTTCCACCCCCCTGCTCAGATGTCCCTACATCCCTATCAGTCAAACAGGGACAGCTATGAATTACCGGGTGTTTGTCATATTAGAGATAAAGGAATTCTATTTTAGTCCCCCCCACCCAAGATTAGCCACGAGTGCACTGCTTAAATTCCAGTTTGAGATATGACACAGAGATGAGACTGGAGTTTGTGTCACATTTCTGTATCAGTGAAGACCAAAAGCGAGCCCTCAGGAGTCACAAACTCCCAAAATCCTACACCCAGCAGTAAGCTCCTAGTGTAAAGCTGAGCTTCTGGCTCCATCTGCTGCCAGGAAGATGGAAAAGATGAGAACGTGAACAAGAAACAGCCAAAAATAAATAAATAAACAAACTACAGCCTCGTCCTCTGCTCAACTAATGCCCTAACACTGCTGCTGAAAGGCAAAGAAAACAGAGGTTGCTTCATCATGGCAATTTCTAACAGGTTCAAGATGTGCAGTTCTTTACCCGGTGAAGACTGAGAGGCACTTGAGGCCTTTTAAGCAAATAACCTATTGGGGTAAATTTTAACTTTCAGGCATACTGTCTGAGTGCATAAATTCAGGTTTTTGCAGCCGTAAAGAATCCCAAAGGACAATGCCATGAGCACGGCTCCAAGATTGCCAGCAGGAAAGACAAAAACTGAAGGAATCCTGCACTGTATGCTTCCTGATCCTCCCCACTTCACGCTGCTCCTGCCTTTCCCTGCTTCACGTGGCGCCTTTAAACCTCAGTTTACATTTGCCCATAAACAAAGATTTATTTTTCTGTCAGAATACATATTCCATGATTTCACGCCAAGAGAAACGTCCACGTTTTTTGGCAAAGAGCGCTGGCATATAGCACAATTCGGCATTGTTTTTGCAAACAAAGCTTCCAGTGAAGTCAATGGCAGCTCTGGGCACACGAGGAATGCTGCTTTGGCTCTTGGGTGCTTAGATTACCTCCCCGTGTTTGCACAGCACTCAGTGCACAGTCACTGTTCATTTAGGAAAGCATTTCATACACCATACCCGACACAAAGAAACAGCAGAACGCGTGCAGGCACTATGATGGAGACAGATTAAGCCTTTAGAGCCAAATGCTTGACGTGACATCTTGTAAATGCACACGGACCTCCAGGAAATTTCATTGCTGTGGAGCTCCTGCTAAAGGAACGGACACCGTTTGGATAGGCAATTTGTGTTAAACATACAGATCCCTTTCAAATCCCATTTTAAATATGAATTTCAATTACAACAGCAGGAAGCATCACCAAAGAAGTGTCATTGCCATGCCTTCTTCCATATCAAGATGCATCTCTATCTCTATCAGAGAAGTACTTGAAAAGTACTGGGAAGGCATCAAAAGGGCATTCTCCGGGCTTGCTTTCCTCACCTCTTCACTTCTATAATGCTAGGATGCAAAAACAAACCCATAATATTTTACGAAGCGTCTTATGTATTTTCTTTGCACGTTTCAGAGTACGTATTACACTAATTTGTAAATGATTTCCACTTTGGCATCCTTCAAATGCAAACTTTGTTCAGGAGCAGCGCCTGGCAGAGCTGTAGCACACTTGAGCAACTTGTACAACAAGCACAAACACGAAAGCACCGAACTTCTGGCGCTGAGCTGTTGGAGGCACTTTAGTTGTCTACATTTTTTTGGTAAGAGAAGCCCTGAAGAAAATTTCTAAGGCTAATTAAAATCCCAGACAACAAACCCAGAGACTGATTTACAAGCCCATTAGTTATATGAGCAGCTGCATTTGAGCTTGAGATTTAAGCCATGTCACTGAAATCTAGCAAGCATGAACTGGGATTTGGCCAGAAGACAGACAAAAAGACACTTTCCATGGTAAAGTAAGCCCTTATTTTCCCCTCTCCTTCTCCAAACACACGCTACATATCACAGGCAGACGATCTTTCTTTACTCCCAAAACAACGTATGGAGTTTCTTAACTCTGCTCCTGAATTTCTGAGCTGCTTCAGCAGGCACTACACACCTGCCTTCCTCACACGGGTAGCTGTGGCTCTGGGAACAATGCAGAATTGAGGGCAACTTTCAGGTCAAAAAAGAAAAAATCCTTAATTACCCAGTCATTAAATAAGTGTAATTTGAGTTTTTGACTTGTCTTCAGAAAGGCTTTACATGCCTCAGTTTTTGTAAGCTCATCAAGGAAACAAGATTCAGGAAGCAACCATGGGATGAATAAAAAGCCCAGAGATCAGCCAGCAATGATCTGCTGTACAAACAGAAAAAAAAAAAAATCAAGTCCTGAGCAGACTTGGCCCAGTTAGTCTGCAACTGGAAAGTGGGCTGGACAAGATCAGAGCTGAAATCGATAACAAAGCCAGAGAAACCTTCTGAGTAAGAGGCTGAAAGACAATAAACCAGAACAAAATGTTACATGCGGGTTATTCTTGCTCGTTACACAAACAAACAAAATGAGGACAAACAGGTTCAAAGCTGTTCTTCAAAACAATTCGCACAGAAGGGAGCCTGCAAGCACAAGCTGAGAGATAAAAATATGCCACTGCAAGAAAACCCAAACGACAATGCTTAGTCATGAAGTGCAGTACAGCACACAGGCGGCACAAACAAGTCCAGCTCTGCTCAGCAGCAGCGAGGGCATGGTTGGAGCAGTGAATCACAGGAGAGCAAGAAGGATAAAGAGAAACATTACCTTGCAGGAAAAGTAATAGAATTTTACTGAGAGAAGGAGAAACCACTGAAACAGGAATGATAACGATCTTTACACGTGTTAAAGACTTGTACAGAAGGACAATAACTTGTTCTGCAGCCCTGATGGGCAGCAAGAGACACAGACAATAAATACGGTAGGAATCTTGCTAGCTGTGAGGATGAGGAAGCACTGAAACAGGGAAAGGAGTCTTCTGCCCTAGAGGCCTTTCAGGCAATTACGCAAACAGTGGCATAACTGGGGCAGGGGAATGGACCTGATCATGTCCTTGGCTCCTGCCAGCCCTACTGCTCTATGAAAGCAATTTTTTTGGCTGCTAAGGATTTTGGAGGGTTCGCCTTTTGGAAAGGACTCCAGCAATGATGTTCTCACTGAAATTTCTTTCAGTTACTTCGGCTTTCCTGTTAGATTGCAGAAGCACAGCCTGCAGAAATGGCAGCCTTCCCAGGCAACACCTTTCTGCATTTAATTCCTGAGGCTAACAGTCAGGGTGACACACTGCCCCTTGCACAAATGAGACCTTTCCAACTTGAATCACTCTTCCCCCATCCATGGCAGATGACTGTATTTTGTCTGAAACCAAGTAAGGTACACACCTGGGTAAGGCACTCACGGGGATCCTGAAGGGCAGATTGGTTCATTTCTATGAACTGCATTGCCTTTCAAGCACCACAGCATTATTTACCATTTGCATGGTAAAGCACTCATCCTAGGGAACAAAAAAAAAAAAGAAAAAAAGAAAAACAAACAGCAAGAGCTGCCATATAAAGAGACAAAAAGACAGACTGCTGTGGCTCTGGATAGAGGTGACTGCAAGTTTCTGTGGGGCTCACTCTTTTTCAGTAGACTGTGGATTTAAATTGCACATTAACTTTTTTTTCTTTTTAAAGCAAGGCATGTTTTAATAGAAACATCCAGATTATAGGAAGTTCTGTAACAGTAAAAACAGATCTGTATACTCAGATCTATTTTACAAGATTGCAAAGCCAAACACCGAGACCAGTCTTGAGAACAGCAACTCGAGTTATAAAACCAAAATGCTTTACACACGGAACACAGCCTGATGCTTGTCAAGATCACCAGCACAACACCCAGTTTGTGAAATCTTCAGCATTGTTTTTTTTTCTATCTGTAAATGAAAAACAGAAATTCTACCATAATGGCAAGCGCTTCCCCACTACAAGCATCTCACCAAGAGGCAAAAATACCAAATGTGATGCCTGGGAGAGTTCTGAAAGCTCAAGAGCACCCTTACTAAATATATATATATATATATATGTATATAAGTTATACTCTAAACTTTGGCCAAGACTTTCAATAATTAAGCAGATTTGTACAGATGTGCCCCCCTCAAACACTCTGACTCAGTTTGGTTAAGTTTCGACTAGATGAACAGAACCTCATCACTTCATCTCCACGTATTCCAAGATTGGAAGCTCTTTAAAATCATTATTAAATTATAATGGCTCTGAAGAAAATAAAAGACATAGCTTTTTTTTTTTTCTTTTTTTTTCCTGTTTTTAAAGACTTAAGTCCTCTTAGATAAAAGGAATTAAAGATGCTTGCTTCACGTGCAGGCTTCATCGCACATATAACAACACACCAGCTCGGGTCAGTCAGCAGATACTCTTTAAAAGCCACATTTTCAGAAAGACAGAATGGTCTTATGAATTATTTCGATGCACTCTCTGATTTCATCCTCCTTAATCACCAGAGGCGGTGCCAGACGGATGATATCACCGTGGGTAGGTTTGGCAAGAAGTCCGTTATCGCGAAGCCGCAGACACACCTTCCAGGCATCGTAGTCTGCAATGAAAGGAAAGACATTTACACCGTGCCAGAGGAAGTGGCGCATTTTCAGCACGTGGTATGAGGAGCCAGACTGTAAACTGCTTGTCATTTAGTAGTGAGAAAAATCAAATATCATGTGCTCTTTCTCACAAATGAAGTGGTGACATCTGAGCAGCTCTCCAGAATTTGCAGTGAATATTTAAGGCTGCTGCAAAAACTGAGCTTTGCTCCTTCACAGATGAGAGCCTGCCTACTTGTAGCAAGGGATTAAACAAAGAAAAGTAGAAGAAATGGAAGCCTGCAAGAGGCAGGTAAGATAAGAAGTCTGGATAGGACCTCAGACAAGGTTACTTTTATGCCTGGATTTCAGCGCATCACGTGCATGACTGAAGAAATTACAGCCCTTCCCTTGCAGCATTTTGTCGCTTAGTATATTGATGACAAAAAAAAATAATTGTCTGCTCTGGCTTTTAAACCATTTTCTGGTGTGCTTCAGTGTGTTAATCCCTAGAAACTTGTTTTCAGTCGTTAACTCTTTCCTTCCTTATGCCTTCCAGTATTCATCTAATTATCCTGGAATAAACAACCTCAGCCAAACTTCCAGAAACCAGCCTCCCAGACATGGCCAGTTATCTCCAGCTGAACACACAAAGGGGCATTTGTGGGGAGCTAAGTTCACCACCAGGTTTGAACATTATCCAGTCATAAAATAATTCGTGTTGTTAAAACAAAAGTTTAGATTGAGATAGTAAAAGCCTCCTACTTTTAATAGCACACACTCAAATTTATAGGCAGTACTACAGTGCCAAGATCAGAACCCAAACAAGATGACTACAAGCTATGTCCCTACTCCACAGATACTTGCGATTTCAACTTGAAAATTATTTGTCATGCTACGACTCTGCAGTTGATTGTGCTTCCTTACCTTTGGTTTCCCGGATTACAATTGCATTGAGCAGTCCTTTTCCTCTGACACAAGTCACAATATCAGATGGTGTCTTCATGAGCTCATTTCTTAATATGTTACCCATTCTTTCTGCATTTTTAGCCAAGCCTTCCTCTTCAATTACCTACAGGAAGGTTAGAAGGTTAGTGCTGCAGTCAACTGAAGGGCACTGCATTTGTTTTAGTTGTCTACTCTCACATGGCACACAGTGACATTACAATTGCTGAGATACAAAAGCTGACCCATCCAAGGTGCCACTGCAAACATAGCACATCCAAGCCAGTTATCATTAAGCCTTCACTCATTTGTGTTTACAAGAAACAAATCTCTAAACTGTTTTCCAGTTGTCTTTTTTTTTTCCTCCCCAAGTAAAAAATAAACCTCTGAAGGCTCAATCTCTGAGTTTGGCCAAGTCCATGTATCAGGCAATGATGAGGCTTTTTGAGTGACTTGCTTAAACGTTGTGAATTATGCAATTACAGAATGTTTAAAATATGGTATCTGGACAAGATATTTTACTAGCTTTTGTTTGAGCTCCAGTGCCATGTGTGTTATCAAGCTCACAGAGCAGCAACTCTTGAATATGGCATAATGAAATATGCTATTTTTTAAATGACTCAGTGAAATTAGTAAAATCATTCTACTGAATTTAAGTACCTTAAACCTTGTCCTGGATAATGGCTTAAATGGCAGAATAAAATTTAAGACTATAAAATACAAAGAAATTAGGGTACCGTTTCAGCTAAGACTTTAGAGCTTGTTTTGTGAACATTAAACTAAAGGAGGAGTTAGGTTAGACGTTAGAAGGAAGTTCTTCGCTGTAAGAGAGGTGAGAAACTGGCACAGGTTACCCAGAGAAGCTGTGGATGCCCCATCCCTGGAGGTGTTCAAGGCCAGGTTAGATGAGGCCCTGAGCAACCTGATCTAGTGGGTGGTTTCCCTGCCTATGGCAGGGGGTTGGGGTTGGATGATTTATCTTTAAGGTCCCTTCCAACCCAAGCCATTCTATGACATGATTCCACATGCAAGTAGTTAACTACTACCAATTTTTCATTCTTATTAAACATAAATTTCTATTTGTATCGTAACACCAATAATGTTCCTTATTTAAGCAAAGATAATGTCTGTGTGACATCTTTATTTCTTTAGGATACAAATATTAAAACACAAACCTCCAGAGCTGCTATTGCAACACGACAGGCTAACGGATTTCCTCCATATGTAGATCCGTGTTCACCAGGCTTAATGGTCAGCATAACTTCATCATCACACAGCACTGCTGAGACCTAGAACGGAAAGGTCAGCTAACTCATTTACCTACATCATTTAGAACAGAAGAGGACACATCTGACAATCACAGAACAGCTTAATCCCCTTAGATACACTCAGCTATACCGTTAATATACAGCAGCTAACTACAGCTGAGAGGCATTTCTCCAAAATGAATATTATTTCAAGAGTTTAAGTTTCATAACTCTGTTTAACAAGTCAAAACCAAGCCAAAACAGTTCAAGGCAAGCTGCAATTTTCAGCTTAATCAGCAGAAATTTATGTCACTCCAGGAGGATAAACCCAGTCATGTGGGCATGACAAACAAGGGAACTAATGCCAATTGTTCAGAAAAATGCTTTTAATAGCTGATGTTTTAGAACACGTTATTTTTCTCCCATTTTACAAAGTTAATCAGAAATTCATTAAAGCAAGACTGTGATGATCTACTGCCCAGAGACAGTGTTAGAATCACTAACTAGTGATTCCAGAATGAAAGGCTGACCACCGGACACTTACCTTTCTGATATTATCAAACTGAAGTAAACAGAGATACATCAAATCTATTCAATTAACAATGACCAAACACCTAAAAAATCCCAGAAGATGCATCTAATGATGTGCCAAACTAACAATTCAAGTATCAACACAGAAAGTTCAGTACTCTCTAGCCATTTCAGCTATATATGTAACCATGTATTCCATAATTTTCTGATGCATCACTCACAGGCTCTACTATCTGGGTCACAAATTACAGTTAATCTTGTAAACACCGATTTCCAAGCACAGCAAACATCAAATTTGTCTTCCAACTAGTAAACTTTCAGTCTTAATTACTTTAAAATTGATTAGCCAACTGATTTATTTATTTATTTTTGTTACTCACAGGATATAAGCCACCAGAAAGGGCCTTTCCAAGAAGAATTATATCAGGTCTCACATTTTCATGGTCAACAGCTAGCATTTTTCCTGTTCTGGCTAAACCTGTCTGTATTTCATCGGCAATAAACAGAACCTTTATAGAGATAAAAAGAAAAAACACACACGTTACAAAAAATGACTTTTCACTCCCATTCCTACTTCAGTTCAAACAGAGTTGCACACAGTGAAAGACCTTCCAGCTGGATTGCACTACGTGCGCTTCTTTAAGACACACACATTCTGTAAAATGTCAAAATAATGAAAAGTAAACGTACTACCCTAATTCTCTCTGACATCTTTAACAAAGATTCTCTGCTACATAAGGAATACTCTACATCTGCTTGGTCCCTGTTCAAACAGAATCTATTTACACTACAACAGCAAGTGAGATTTCCAAAAAGTTAGGATTAGTCCATCTTTTACTCCAAGCGCATTGTTTGGAAACTGACCTTTGAAAGCTTCTGAAAAATGCCACTTTAGCAACTCTGCTGGTCTCAGTCTGATCCCCAGTGTCTACATGACTCTGAGAGCCTACATGCAAGTCTTTGATGTCATTTTCCTAAGCTGCACTACTGTCGTGTGCTGGAATTCATAGAGTACCTAACACCTTTTCTGTGAGGTAAGCATCACAGTAACAGTGAAGGCAACTTCATTACTTGTATGTCAATAGCTTCCTCTGAAGGTTTGGAATAATTTATGGGTAACATTTTCAAATTCAGAATCAGAACTCTATTAGAACAAAGTGCTGATTTTCAAATCAGACAGGCTCCATGGCAATAAAAAGCCATGAATCAGTAGAACTTTTGTTACTTTCCTTACAAAGGACAAGGCCTAGACCTGTACAAGAGCCTGACCAAACTAATGCTGCAATAAGGGGAAGGCAGCCTGCTTATAACCATCAGCAGTACCCAACAACAACAAGAGTGAAAAAGAAATGTAGAGTTCAATTAAAATAAATGCAGTTTCAAAAGTTTCCATTAGAAACTTCCATTGGTGACAGCAATAATAAACAGAGAAAAGTGAGCACTGCAGGAAATGTAAGTATCCCTACCCTAATCCACTGCAATTATTAAACAGCATTTGAAGTCCTATACCTTGCATGAGAATAACCTTACAAGACATGCCAGGAGACACAGCACGTGATTTTAAGCCACCTTGTTCTAACGAATTCCTTACGTTGTGCTTTGTGCAGAGGTCCCGCACTCCCGTGAGATAACCTTTGTCAGGAACAACCACGCCTGCTTCACCTTGAATTGGTTCAACCATGAAAGCCGCTACGTTGGGATCTTGAAGTGCCCGCTGTAAATATGATGTGCACAGAAAGAGAAAAAGAAAAACTTGTATTCAGGTCACATTTACAAAATATGGGAAGAGCACATAGCACAACCTAGCTGTCACTGTTTTCAATCCTAAATGCAGGTAACAGTATTCAGGTCAGACAGTTATCTCAGTGCCATTTCAGTTCCAACACAGAAGCCTATGTCCCTGCTTGCCTCAAAAGATCAGTTGGTGTGCTTGCTTAGGGAATTACGAACCTTAAAAAACTGCAAAGCCAGACAAGCAGATTATCGGATCAGACCATAAGTTACCTCAGAAATATACTCAGTTTTGCATTACCCCATACAAGGCAAACAATTGCTCAATGCTTTCCCCAGTTCACCTCAAACAAAAAGGAATGGAGGCTCTCTAGTACAAAGCTGTCATCTTAAAGCAAAGTCCACAGCTACATTCTTGCACTAGAAGGTTTACAAGTTTACAAGGCTCAAAAGATACAAAGATTCCCAGCACAAGTTTACTACAGCTTTCCCTAATACTGCCCTGTAAACAGAATAAATTCAGTTATTAGTCTGATGGACACGGACGTGGGTTCTGGGTCTCCAGAGCACATTCAAAGCCTCAATATAAAGTTAGCTGAAAGCCAGTAAATACTTACAGAGCTTTCACAATGAACAGCCTTACTTAGGTTCAAAGCTGATTTAGCTACTCCACAAAGTAACTATAACACAGAGAGCCCTTAGTTTCCCCTAAACAGACTCCTAGGAGGCAGGCATCTCTGTCCCATAAACCTCCACAGATGGCTCATTGTACTAAACAGGCACAGCAGACACGGAGGACTGACTTGTCACTCATGGAGATGATGTACAATGGAAAAGTGGCAATGCCAATGATCCTACTGCCTCAGTACCATTTGTGTTTAGCTGGAACCCTCCTGCCTTCCAGGTCCCAAATCCAGTTACCCTATGGCTGCTATCAAGCACCATCTACCCTTCAATGCATAAACCCAGACTATGAGTGTGGGAAGTTTTAATCAAGGTCAACACTCCCCAACAGCTTGACTGCAGAATCAGTAGCATTGCAGTAACTTGAATAAACTGCCAGCCTAGCATATTTTTAAGGATGCTAGGAAGCTCGCAAGACTGGTAAGCAACTGCAGTGAATTCTAGTTATGCAGTCATTGGAGAATCCTTAGCATTTCTGAGAAAAGTAAGTCAGGATACTAGCTTCAGAATCCACGCCCAACTTTAGAACATATTTTACTTCATGCAAGTGTAACATGAATCCCCTTGCAGTTTATTTGCTGTTCTTTTTTTTATACCTGAAGCATCTTCTACACCTGAAATGAAACAGATCTTGTTGTTTTCCTTCTACCTCCTAAAGTAAACTGAAAATCAAAGCCAAAGGAGAATTTGCACCCATTACCTGCAGTGTATATGTATCTAGACATATATAAGAAATACATATTTCCTAATGCATATGTTTTAAATGACAAGCTTCTGATTTTTCTGCCTTGCTATTTACCTAAGAGACACAGTAAAATAATTCCAAATACCTCAAGAGCTGGTAGGTCATTGTATGGGATCACTTCGAAACCTGGCATAAAGGGTCCAAATCCATCATAACTCGATGGGTCTGTAGAACTGGAGATAGCAGACATTGTTCTTCCCCAGAAGTTGCCAGCTAAAAATAATAATAATAATAATATTAATATTTATATAGCAAACATCTCATTGACAAAATTACAATGCATTTTCACCTCACATAACTGGCAGAGGTTCATTACAAAACTAAGAGCCAGAACGGTTTGTAGGACATCACATTTTTTAACCTGCTTATGAATTTTAAGAGTTGTCTAACATTAGCATCCTTCCAGCAATTGTTAGCAGTTTCCATTGATGCCTTAAATACATCAGGTTGCTCTATCAAAAGCACGTTGGAAAAACAAACGAATATTATGACATGACCTGGCAAGTATACAAAATAACTTCCATGAAGAAAATACCATCCAGAATTTAAATCCTATAAATAAAGCTGCCAGTAAGCCTAAAAAATATGTTTCTGTGTAGTTCAAAGTTCCAGGAAAAGCCGTTTATATTTTTAAAAACACTCTGACTTTGCACTATTTCATATAGAAACATGAGTTAAAATGGTTGGGAACTAACTATCACCAAGACTATGAAAAATTATTTTAGTATTTCCATTGAATAAACTTACTGTCACCTAATTGATAATTAGATGTCTGATAAGAATAAGGAAGATAAGATTTCAAAACGGTCACAACAACCCCTGCTATGCTCTGGAGAGTCACTTATCAAAGTGAAAAAGCACTTACTGAAAGTTGACTGACTAAAGAGAGAAATAAAATATATATGGAAGAAAGGGAGAAATACATTTGTTTAAAGAATTCCCAGAAAAAGAAAAAAAAAATCTAATCTAATTGGCCCTAGAAAACATAACTCAGTGCTCAACTTTGAATTTCAGTTTATAAATGCAGTCTAATGACAATTTATAGTTCAGCTATGACGTGCACCAGAAGTCAGAAACAGACTGCAGCTGTAGCAACCAACAAACACATAAATAAATCACTTATTAATAAGTTTCATTCTGGGAAGTTGTATAAAATACAGAGCCACTGAAAAGCAGCAGAATCAACAAAAAGCACTTCATCTACAACCAAAAAACACCAAATAGAAATTATTTGAACTAGCCCTAAGCAGTCATTTTTCAGCAAAGCACAGTAGCTTCTTCAGTGGTAGGCAACTTTTCCCTGTAATATAGCCAAGAAGAGCAGATGAAGGATGAAAGCACACCACTTAGATAGTCAGGACCCACTATCAATTTTAGCAAGACTGCTGTTACCTTTGCTGTATGATCAAGACTACAAAATGGCTTTACTGGATTAAAGCCAACTTCTGGAATACCGAATTAAAGAATGCCGAAGAGAAACACTGGTAGGGAGTTGTTAAGAAGGAAGGAGGTTATCCCAAATGTGGGATTTTTGAGAGGGGTCTCAACAGTTTAATTCAAATGAAAGGTATCACAAGAAAGAAGGAATAAAAAGATACTGCACTTTAACACCCAAACAGCGATTAAAAGAGCGCGGAGGATGAATGCAGCTTCCATCTGACTTCAGGCAGCTATTAAGCAATATCTGACAACAAAAAGGGTTAAGTAGTACAAATAACATCTACTTTATATATCCAATTGCTGTTTATAAATCTCTATAAACCACTTCATTAACAGTGCTTTCCTTCCTTCAGTGAAAAAACAAAGCATTAATAATACTGCAGTGCAATCGCTACAGCTACAGGACAAGTGCTACCGCCAGTGTCTAGAGCTGCCTTCTTCTCAGTACCTCACTCGTAACCCACACATAACGTACCTGCAAAAATAATTTTTGCTTTGTATTTCGGAATGCCCTTTACAACATATGCCCACTTCCGAGCCAACTTACAGGCAGTTTCTCCAGCTTCCACTCCTAAAACATAAAGCAGCACCATTATCATATTTGTACATCCAACAGGTCATCGATGCAGTAACAAACACATCAGTGCAGCACAAAAGTTTTGATTCTCATGGAAAGAAATAGAGTGGAAATAAAATTCTTTTTTCTTTTACCTGTGTTCATTGGAAGAACTTTGTTATAATTGAACATTTTGGTGACAAACTCCTCATATTCACCAAGCACATCGTTGTAAAATGCTCTAGAGGTAAGGGTCAGTTTTTCAGACTGAGCTTTCAGAGCACTCACGATCTTTGGGTGACAGTGGCCTTGATTAACAGCACTGTAAGCGCTTAGAAAGTCAAAATACTTTCTGCCTTCAACATCCCACACATAAACACCTAGAAAAACAAAAGTATGGTAAATACTGCGGAGCAGCAAATCCCCTTAAAATATAGTTAAAAATCAGAGTAAATTTAAATTACACCAAAACACAGGAGCAGTACACAAGGTTAAGTATACACTTAAACAGGGATCCAATGCAGTTTTCATGTTCACCTTAACACTGAAGATCTCCATACAAGGGAACAGAAGCAACAGCTGCCTGAAGCTTTCTTGCTGAGTTATTCTGAATTATGGAAATCATCAGTACTTAGACCTTTATTTAAATAAATCATTTTATAGAGAGCACAATTGTATCAAGTGGCCTCATAAGGCTGCAGCATAAGGCCTCATAGAGAGCTATGGCCTGCAAATTAACTACCTTTACTTCATCAATTATCTCAATCTTCTCTGCTCCCAGCCCGACAAGAAAAGAGTTTTGAAACTGATTAGCTCAAAATCATTATGTACACACATCCCATCAACAGGACCCAGGGCAACCGAAATAAAATACCTTTTCCCTTCTCCAGAGCCACAGGCAGCGGGTGGTAATTGTGGGCCCCATATTTAGCCTCACGTTCAAAAATGTAATCAGAGGACGGAGGTCCTTGAACTGTTTTTTTGGTAGCAACTGAGGTAGCAGAACTCAGCGAAGCATGAACACCTCGGCACAGAACAGCGAGGCTCTGCGGGCGGGTGAGCTTGGAAAACATTGTTGACTTCAGGTATGCTGTGAGAGATCTGGAAAAAAAAAAAAAAAGGAAAAAGGAAAAAAAAGAGGTTAATGATTAGCACTAACAGTACTTCTGAACAAATACATGACGCGATTAAAGTGCTTCTACTGCCAGGATTACAGGTTTCCCAACCGTTCTGCGCTGCAATCAGGAAAGCTTGTACGAAGTATAAAGGAATGCAGCACTGACTTCAACTAAGTTGTTTTTTTCCCCTATTCTAATGTACACTCCCAGTAACAGAACAAAAACTGCACGACTAAGCAAGTGCCCAAGAGCTAGTCCCCTAATTTTTACCTATAAAAGTATCTTTTCTTTGTGCCTTAAATTGCAACTAAATTTATTAATACAAGCTACATTTAGCAGAGCAGGGAAATGATCAGAAAGTTAAGTTTATCAGGCCGCTGGGGCTGCTGAAATGCCTTTCATCTGACGAAGACTTCCTTAAGAGAAATCTCAACACAGAATCAGAAAGCAAATAATATAAGGCTGGAAAGAAGCACCTGACCAAATAATGTTTAGCTGATAATATCAGACTGATAAAGGACAGATTAGTTTTAACCAAGGTCAGCTTTAAGAAGTCAAGTTAGTGGCTTTTTGTATAAACTGCATTCTTGATGTTAAAGTGTATCCAGCTACGGATAAAGAACTCCTTGTTAGGGGCATTTCAAGGCAATGAGAAAACGAATGGAAAGTAACAGCTAATCAAGTGTTAATCATCTTTATAGCACCTTGTATTTTCTGAGGAAAATTCATTGATTTCCCCCAAATACATAACCTTATACTGTTAACATCTATGGATAGAATTTCATGAAACACACACATGAAAAACGTTAGGAACTTGAACTTCCACTGCATTTTTCCCCTTCCTGCTCTGTCAGAGCAACCACACAATTAAGCCTTCAAAAATGAAGAACAGAACCATGGTCTAATTCCCAGCAGTAGGTGGCATCTTTCCATTTAAATTCCACAAGCATCTACCAAAGAGTGTAATTAATATTCCCAGACTTATATGGCTAACGTGTCTTTGGAAACAAACTTGTCAAGTCCATCAAAGCGGAAGGCAGAACTCCAAGATGTGGTGAATCTTTTCAGATTTGTATTTGACAATGGAATAGAAATTGTTTCCACAGTTCTCTGATAGCACTTCCAAATTATGGTAAAGGATTGAGAAGCACCTGAAACACAACACTGGGACAGCGTGAAAAGAATCCTTTGCAGAAGTTCTGTGTCTTTCCATTCAGGGGAAAGCCCTAACACCAGAAAGGCCCAAGATGCCTGTGAGAGCTGGAAGGAGCAAAGGATTCTTCCACGTTCAACTTGTTCTTACTTATAGAAGGATGAGAGTAGTGACGACAGCAGAGAGCCAAGGCAGAGATGCTCACTTTAGCAAGACCATGAGCAGTCAGAGCTAAAGATTCCAGTCTTGCACAACATCACACTTACAAACTGTAAAAAGTTATTAGCCCACAACGAAGATGACAATGACAAGTGCTCTGATTGTCAAATGCAGCCTCCTTTGCAACAGACTCCACAGCAAACTGAAGAGCTTTTTAAGGAACCTCAACACCGGCACACTACCTAACAACAAAAGTGCACTGCAAAAGATGTGTATCAAACAGAAGAACACAGGGACAGTTTATGGGAGGAGATTATTATTTCCGTTTGCTTGCAGCAGCAGATTATTCTACATTTATTTTGGTAAAGGACTGCACACTGGATGAGTCACCTTAAAGAGGCATTTTTTCCAGCAGATTCCTCCGACGTTATATTGCTGTTCCTCATTTCTAAGCAAAGCCAGAAAAACGATTTCCTGCATCTACCAAAATCAGCAGTCCCCGTTCCAGCAGGAGATCAGCTGCTCCTCAGCCCTGGGCATTTTACCAACTCAGGGCTGTTAAGTATTAGCAGTCTGTGTTAATACTCTTCAAGACTGTCACTCAAATATTTTACCAAAAAAAAAAAAAAAAAAGGCAAATATGTCCTCATGGAAGAAAAATTTTGATAGAGTCAGCTCAGCTGCACCACTCAAAAACACAACTTGCTTAACCCCTTAACTGCCATTGGTCTGTGCCACCCTGCCCCTGACACACCTCCCTGGCAGGGCAGCTGGTTCTGTGATAAGCTCCTCTATTTTTGGACATGCCCCAAATATCCCTGAAATGAAAGCTGTAAAGGAAGTGAAGCTCTTACCTGCACCTCACCAGAGAGTTAAGGTTCTGCAGGGAGAGTTACAGACTACTCTTCCTTCAGGGTGGCAAACCTTAACCAGAAAGACTTCCCCTCCAGGAGGAAGAAATGACCTGCAAGCTGCGGAAGCAAGGCTCTATCATTTCAGCTGAGCATGGGGGGCGTTACCCTGAGCAAAGCAGAGCGAAACCACGAATTGCTGTTGCATCTGGAGCCGAAAAGCGAGGAGAAGCCTGCTCCTGGCGATCCGCACGGCGATTTCAGGAAGAAGGAGGGGTGCAGCAAGGGGGAAAGCAGGAACTCGTTATGGGGCAGGAGGCAGGCGGGAGGTGTTGCATCAGAAACGGGGCCAGCCCCCCCTGCTGAGCGCTAGGGAAGCAGCTTCTCCTCCACAGCAGCCCCTCAGTAACGCTGCTCGTCTTACACCGCCTTAAACCGCAGAAAATAAACCCGCCCGGGCCAGTTTTACCTCAGCAAGGCTAAAAACAACATTAAATAAATACATTTTGGGGAGATGGCCCTGCCTGAGGCGGGCGGGCTGCGAGCTCCCCTCAGGCCTCTTGCCCCCAACGGGCCCGAGGGGAGCCTGAGGGACCCCTGAGGGACCCCGGAAGGCTCCCTCACGGCAAGGCGGCCCCGCCGCGCTCCCCTCCCTCACGGCGGCCGCCGGCGTGAGGCGAGAAGCGAGGCCGGGCCCGGTTCCCTCCCCCCCCCCCGGTCCCTACCTGCCGGCCCTGCTGCTCCGCCCGCGGCCCGCGGCGCAAAGGCGGGGGCGGCCGGCGGCAGCTGTCACCGCGCCTCACGCCCCGCCGCCCATTGGCTGCCGCCGCCCGCCCCTGCCCCGCCGCCGCTCGCCATTGGTTCCCGCCGAGGAGAACGCCCCGCGCTCGGCCAATCGGAGGGCGAAGGAGCCGCAAGCCCTCAGGGAGGGCCCGCCCCCTCGCCTCGCCTCGGCGGCCGTTGGCGGCGCTGCCTCAGGGCCGCCGCCCCCGCAGGGAGCTGACGGGGCCGGGGAGGGAACGGAAGGGAGAGCAGGGGGAAAAGCGAACAGAAATGGATAAAATAAAGACAAAATGAAAAAAAGGGGTTTGGGCCAATCTGTCCCCGCTGAGCCGTGTCCCCAAGCACCACGTCCAACCCCTCCTGGAGCACCCCCAGGGACGGTGCCGCCACCACCTCCCTGGGCAACCCGTCCCAACGCCTGGCTGCTCGTCCTGAGGAGAAATATTCCCTAATTTTCAGTCTAAACCTCCCCTGGTGCAGCCTGAGCCCATTCCCTCTGCTCCTATCACTAGTTACCTGTGAGAAGAGGCCGACCCCAGCTCCCCACACCTTCCTTTCAGGGAGCTGTAGAGAGCAATGAGGTCTCCTCTGAGCCACAAGTAGTCAATGTGCACTTTTTTTAACCCAAAAGAAGAAATACATGAAAAGATACTGAGACTATTTCCCTTTTTATATAATCCACCTTATTAAAACCAAAACCAAAGCAAAGTCTCAGCAGTGCTGACTTCTGGATGCCTCTTGACTCATAAATTGCCCTGACAAGTCTATCTATGCTGCAAAAGTCTGCAGCTTTTCCACAAAGAAAACGCGGTCTATTGGGTTGACAGTACCCAGGATTTGCATATCTCCCCCCACACAAACACAACCCCATGGAGATGTCCTGGAACCCTGTCAGATCTCCTAACCAAGCGGCTCAAAGCCCGCGTGGCAGGGAGCAGCATCGCGTATGCGGTTGGAGAAAAATGCCCTCGGAGGCAATGTTCCCAGTGTGCAGTCAGCTGGGAGGAGAGCAGAGAGATGATCCCAGGCTCTTTGTAAATCCGAACCCAGTCAGGCTCGATCCTAGTAGTATATTTATGTCTCTAACTAGCCTAATTCTGCCAGGGAACAGTGCCCTGCATCTGCTGCCGAAGCTGAACGCTCAAAGTATTCAACGCTAAAAGGTTGTGCCTTTGGTGCTACGTTGCAAAATACGTTTCACAATCATGTGTGCTGAATTAAGGCATGGTTGCACTGTGCCAAGTTTCTTCTTTAAGTCCAGAAACAGTCATTATCTAGGAGCAATTGCAACCCCTTTTTTCTACTTCAAGGTATGATTTATTTGTGAGACGCCCACAATTTTAAGGCTGGAAAAAAGCAATGAACCAATTTGAGTATTATATTTTGTCACAGTTCATCTCTGGTGTAAGGAAAAAATGCCTGAGTCTAGCCTCACTCCCAGGGAAACAGAGGCCACGTATCCAAATAAGCACTTCACACTCATGTCTGAAATGTGGAGTCTCAAAACCAACCAAACCAATAACCCTGACGCAAGAAAGGGCTTGCTCTCTTTTGGATCCTGCAAGTCTGAAAGACGAGGGAAAAAAAAAGGTTACGTGCTCAAATACAGGCATAGAACAGAATGTGTAGATACTACGTGTAAATTTATTTTTTAAAGCTGGTATGGGCTTATTTTGAGATAAAAAGAAATACAAGTGTGAAGTAACTCTCAACTGGAGTCTGGTTATTTAACATCTGAGAGAGACTGACTGCAAACTCCTACATAATATAGGCTTGATCACAATTTTTTGTAGGATCATTGCAATCCTTCTGTGAATCACTTTCTTTCCTCTTTTGTTTTTGACATTTAAAATCAAGACACTGAAAATACCCACTTTTCTTGTATAAATGTTATCAAGCTGAAATTTTAAATTGTTCACATTTTTCACGGTGGTAGCTGTTACCATAGATCTTGAAGCAGCTGCTGTCAGCTAGATGTAGTATTTCTTGTGATTTAGAAAAAAAAAAAAAAGAGAAAAATAATAAAAAAAAAGCAGCAGCTTAATGTGTGCTGTTTAGTTACCTGTCGGTACCTAAAAGACTCCACATGACAGCAACCAAAACATGAGAAACAGAAGAGTCGACATTTTCCCATTTTGCAACAATTTGCCCCACAGAAAAGAAGAAAACCTTGACCTACTTGAGAAAAGAGGGTTATTATATTCATTGTGCTTATCCAGAAAATACAGTCTGACGTCCACGCAGACCATACAGTCACATGGAGGAACAAGTTAAGTCATGCCAGTCGTTAGGCATAATGCCGCAGCTCGCTCTCTGGCAGAAATGCTCATTGAAGTCAGGGGGAATTAGGCATGTGAAGAGGCTGAGGAATTGCATCCCGGCTTATGGTTGTTATTTTCTTCCCCAGGGGTAGGGCCAACACCCTCGCCTGTTAACCACAGCCTTGGGTGCTGCCTGGGCGAGGTGGGTGCGTTGCGGGGCCAAAGGCGGTGCTGGGGGAGCGCTGGCGTAACGGGACGCTTGCTGCTCTTGCTGTTCCGTTCCTTGGTGGCCGTGACGGCTCATTGCTCGGCTCGGAGGAAGAGTTACTCACCGCAGGGCATGACCTACACCAGTCAGCAGCTTGGGTGTGGAGCCCATCCAAATCACGAGGCTCAGGGTGCAAGTTCACAATTAGCTAACGCCGGTGGAAGTCTTCGGTGCTGGCGGGCGGACAGTCCCACCCCTCTGCCTACCTCTAGGAAAGCCACAAGGGTCGTTTTCACCCTTCTCCTCTTGTCCATGACATGCCACTCAGAAAAAAAAAAAAAAAAAAAAAAAAAAAAAAAAAGGAAATAAAAGGTTAAAAGGTGACGCTACTCTGTGACCCTGGTCTCTTATTTGACATGTATGTCTGAACAAGACGTGAGAAGGTGAAGGGGCTTTATTGTCATCATGACAAGATACCAGTGCAGGATTTCAGGAATTTTTCTACTTGTACACTTTCTTACTTGTAGACAATCTTTCATCAGTGAGAGCTGAGGTTCATGCGGATTTTTCACAGAACCTGGTCCAGGGAAATTGCTCTCTGTGGCCCATGGTTGTGTTATTCTGGCTGTTTATGGACACTGAGGTATTTCTTGCAGGACCAGAAAGTTTAGTCTTTCCTGCAGCACAGCTAGGATATCTTACCATGCGGTGTGTCAGAGCACAGAAACAACAAATGTAATTCATGCACAGCACATCTGCCTTTCACATCGAGTTAGGGGTCTCTTTCTTAGCCTGTATTTCTCAAGATAGTTTGGCAAAACATAGCACAACCCCGTTAAAATCAGTGCTGTGTGATCGAGTGGATGTCCCTTAACCAGCTTAAAGCACCACGAACATCCCTTGGAGCTGATACTCCTATTTCAAGATAAACCTTGAGTTACAGTTAACACTGAGCCTCCCCAGTTTGCTTGCTGTCTTATTTTACCGTGATTTCAATGATACTCTGCTTGTTAGATGACAGCGTGGATAACTGAATTATAAAATCGAAATAGTTCTTGTCTTCTTTAGGCATTTTTTCCAATATCTGAATTTATATTCCACTATTTTCCTTTGCAGTTTATTGATGCTTGCGTCCAGAGCCTTCCACAAATGAGATGTGACATTTTGTTTGTGTGTGAAACCCAGATTTAAGGGTGAGCAATAAGCTCTTCTATTTCTAGAGCTTGTAGGTAATTTAATTCAATGACATAGGAAGAGAGAAATGTAATTTATTTATATATTTCTGGTGGTCATCACATTCCTTGGGCATGACACTACCAAGAGGAAACAATCTGGAGATAATCTGAGAGAAACAACTTTCAGATGCACCAACACGGATTAAAAGAGCTGTGTATCCTCAGCTCACTCAGGAGTGGATTTCATTTTTCTCTAGCTCCAACACGTGACTGACAATCAAATTACCCATTTACCTGCAGTCCCAGCAGCAACATGATCCAAGTGTGAGATCCACGAGAGCAGCAAGAGGGCAGGAATCTGAGAATCCTATGGACCTGCATTTTCTAGCATAAAAAATCAGGAATAGTACAAGAAAATCCAAAGAAAATGGGAGCAAGACTAAGCCAGTTTGAATTTCAGGCTTTCAAGTGCCTATCATGAGTTTGCTTCTTCCTTGTATGAAAATATTTTGATTTTGATCCTGCAGACCTTCTGCTTCTGGACTTCCATCAGCTTCATTCTTGGATTTTATCGGGACAGTGACTTCTGGAAAGGACAGCCTTGGAAACTGCTTTACCTGCTCTCCACACTCCCAAAATCTAACCAAGCTGGCGGCTGTAGCTGTCAGGAGAGCACAGAAAGTGAACACAGATACAGCTGGGTGTGTAATAAGAACGAATGTTTTGCCATTTGGGTGAATCTGAGGCCTGAGCCCTGAACATCTGGGTGCACTTCATCTCAGGAACTGGGAAACTGTCCTCAAAATCCTACATCCCCGCAGGCCCTGCTGCGGTGTGTGTGCTTGGCGTTGCCCCGACAGGGACTGCTGACCTCGCTAAGTGGTGGGCAATCATCTGCTCGGGGCTACTGTAGGCTGGAACCGGAGAGCTTACACAACGCCTGGCCCCAGTCAGACTTTAACTCGGCCTCCTCGCAGGGGCAGCTTAGCGAGGCGACCCATTGCGTGGCCTGCCACTTGTCCTGACCTCGGGCCGACTGCTGGCAGCTCCCGAACTTCCCCATCCAGGACTTTACGCCAGCCTGAGATGCTCCAGAATACCAAATAATTCAGAAAATTAGAGGTGTTTTCGGCACACGTTAGAACAAACGACTTTGCTTTGAAGGCCGTTGTTTCAAAACACTTTCTTTCATAATGATTGTTTTAAAAAATCACACAAACCGAGATATTAGTACTAAGGAAAGCCTATTGCCAAAAGTGAGATCTTCAGGAAGGAGCACGGTCTTGCCAGAAATGTCCTCCCCCTAAGCTGCCACGTGGCCGTCCCTTAGAAGGGGCAAATAAACCGGGAAAGCAAAGCGCTTAATCCTTTCTTTGCTCTGCAGCTCATTTATCGTGTCTTCAAACTAATGCTCTGCCCTGCCAATTCCAGTGCAGTGCAGCATCCCCCGAGTCCTGCCGGGTTGTTTTGGGGGCAGGGACTGCGTGATAAGGAGCTGTCAGGCCCATGGCAGCACGCAGACACGGCCCCAGAGGCTGTAGGGCTGTAGGGCCATGGAGTTGACCTTGCCCGAGAGGACAAGGCTTCAACTCAGCTGATTTTTTTTTTGAGTTTGTAATGCCAGGTGCCTGAAAGTCCATAGGTGCAGAACCCGATGTCTTTTAAGGTTACCCTTGCGCAACGTCTGTGCATCTTTGTAGATCCTCTCCTTTAGAAATAAATAAATAAAGGGATTTTTTCATTGAACAGTAGCAGCAAAATTAATGATCAAAGCCACCATAAGTCAGCATGTGTGGCGTGATTTTTAAAGGAGTCAAATATTTTATTTGTGCTGGATTTGTACATAGGGCTGGTATATTTGGAAGTGTTTCAGAATGTCAGGGGCTGCTTGGTGGAAAAGCCTGAATCCTGCACGCCACTGAAGTCTCTCTGCAGTGTTAGGACATGCCTAAGCCCCGTGAAATACCACGTTTTTAATTACATTCATCATGCGGCGTTATACAGAGCATGGAAAAGGAGACGATCAGCCTGAGAAAGAAGTTGGCTTGGGGACTCTTCGGTGTTTGAAGGGGAAAATGTGAAGGGAACTGAGTTTAATGCAACAATCCCTCGCTAAAACAGCACGCAAAGTGCCTCAGTAGGGGGCTAAAGGAAGCTCATGAATAACGAGCACACATCGCTGTCTCCCAGAAGCTTTTACTCGGTGCTCGACCAGAAATCAGCCCCACACCACGGGCTTTCTGTGGCAGGGCAGTGCCGCACACGTCTGCTCAAGGTGACTTCAGCTGATACGGGGTCACAGGGGCAAACAAAAAACTGCGTTCGGGTCTAATGATGCAAGAACCCTATTACCAATTTTGCTTCGGGAGGATTTCACCCTCCTAATGTTTTGCTAGACGTCTGGTCTGGCCTGCGAGTTGTAAAGCTGCGGGAAAGCAGACTTTGGCCTCCTGCATGAGCAATATATGGGACCAAAGCGGCGCTGCCCCATCAGTCCTGAGCCACTTCACCACTTAGCGGGCCGACGAGGCACTCAATAGATCGGCTCTTCTATTTCATGAGGCCTTTGATAAACACACGGGTACCTTACCTTGCCTTTCATCACCTCTCTAAATGTGCTGTACAACCACGAAGGTGCTGTACAACCAGCAGGCCACCAGCCATGGGATCGGAGATGCTTTATGAAACTCTTTTATGAAACACTTCCCACTGAGGAGCTTCCTCGTCACAGCTCCCTGACAGGGGGTTAAGGACACCAGGACAACAGAAACCTCAGCTCATCCTCAGCTCAGGAAGCTGTGCATACACAGCTCGTGGCTTATAATGCTTATTATTTGATCACAGCTAATGATATGAGTGAGAGAGAGAGAGAGGGAGGGAGGGAATTAAGTTTTAATTTTCCAAAGCCTTGTATTACACAACAAACACCAGTTTTCTTCACTGAAAATGCTTGGCCACCAGCCTTGCCATACACAGATTTTATCTTGGTATATTTACCAAGATCGGTCCTCGGTATATTTAATTGTTTGCTGTATTTTTACAACTTTGAAACCCATCCGTATGAGTTGCTGGTGCTGACACAGATCTAAAAGTCCGGTTCCATCAGCATTTCCAGCATTCCCCTGGCTTTGATGCCGTGGTGCTCCCCTGCGCACTTCTTTCATTAGTAGCTTAAATGAAGTTGGTTTCCAAAGTGCCTCTTGGACCACTAGTATTTTTGTTCCCTGTGCAGACCAAAGGTACAAAACATTTTTTTTTTATTATTTTTGGGGGAAAATATGAGCACTGTCTGAATCATGGCAAGGCTCTGCACAGGCTGCGTGCCCCAGGTGTCCCCAGCAGCTGCCGATGCTGCTCCTACAGGTGACACGAGGGGAATGAGGCTCCTAACTCCCCTCTTCTCTCCGGAGCATTTTAATTCAAAACCCTTTTAATTTGATATAGATGCAATTTTTTTGTTCTTTACACATGGGACTTTCTTGTGATTCCTTTTAGCATCTACATTCGGCCGTGAGTAAAGCCAGTTTATGCCCGTGCTTGAAAATATTTTACAACTCCGTCTCCAGAACGGCTAGAGATAATGGGTACTCGGTGGGGCACCTCCAGAAGTGTGACTGCTGCGACAGGCACAATCCTGACAGCGTGGTGCTGGGCAGCAGTGGCTATTTCCAGGGCCGAATTTTACCTCACAGCATTGTAAGGCACCACGCCTCTAACCAGAAACCAGAGGTGCGGGAGGAGAGGAGGGGTGCGAGCAGCTTTGGTGGCCACGAGGGCCGCGGTCCCATTGCCATGCCCCACTCTTGCAGTGCAGAGGTGCAGGTAACACAAAGGGGGATATGTTTTATGACATGAATCGTCAGAGACCCTTTTCCCACAGGATTTGGGCTCCTGTTTTAGGTCTGTTGGCCAGACACGGGCCGCTGGCAGCGTTGCACCCCGCTGTGCCGCCGTAATGACCCCGGCTTTTGCAACTCCAACTGAAGTCCAATTAGAGTTAAAAAGTGACTTTAACTAACCTGCCAGTAAGTACACTCCTGCAGTAGTTATGCCTGCCAAAGTCACGACCTGAAGCCAGCCTCGGGTTTCATTAGTAGCAATCCATGTAATTGGGAAGACACTGGCTACCTTCTCTTCGGGCTGCAGTGTCTTGGCTGAGCCGACCCCAGGACTGTATTTTTGGGGCTCCCACCTCAGCCCCAAAAACTGAAGGGTGCTGATGATGCTGGCAGGGGGTCCCAGGGAGCCCCTCTCACCACCCAACCCCAAGGAGCTGGGTGCCCGGACACCCACTCACAGGGCAGACACAGCTTTGTCTGAGCACTATTAAAACCAATTCAACACAGAATAATTTAAAAAAAACAAACAAACAAACAAACAAACCTTTTTATTTAGACAAACACAAGAAGAGATGGACAGGATTTACGAGCTAAGATTTTTGGTTGGAGAGCCAATGTGTACTTTAAAGCAGCATGAGACCGAGGGGATACCCTCCGGAGCAGCGTGTTGCAATAATTTATGAAACCACACGAGACGGATTTTTTTTTAAACCCAATCACTTCCCGGCCACTCGGGGAAGGATCAGCCCCCAGCCAGAATTCCTCCTCATTCCGGTGCTTGTAACGATGAAGATGAAATATGATTTTCCTTCCTAAGAAACGCTCCAAAAAGGAAACAAGGAAAAGCCCGTGTTTCTCTGTTACGGAAAATAGGTCTCTGCATGCGGGAGATTTCTGCGTTTCACTTATTTTCTACCACAAATGCCCCGTTTTTAAAGAAATGAATAATGCAATCATTTTCTCTGATTTATGTTGGCGTTTCTGCCTCATTCGGCGCTAACGCTGTTCCTACAGCACCCGTTCTCTGCGAGGGGAGCAATCTCTAGGCGTCTCATCTAAAACCTTTGAAGTCAACGGGGATGGGCTGAAAAGAAAGGCGCGGGGGTGCCGCGTGTTAGCAGCAATCGAAACCTTCCCAGCAACCTTCCCACTGACCCCGCAGATCTCGCGCTCCTCGCCCGCTGGCACGGAGCTGCGCTCCCCTACCCCTCCGGCCAAAAGAAAACCCCCTCCTCGGCCGGGTGCTGAGTCCACCGCTCGCAGTTTTTAGGTCCGACGGGAGAAGTGGTGTAAAAAACCTCGTGCACATGGGGCACCGCCGGGTTTGAGGGCAACAGCTGAGGTTTGGGGCCGTCTTGGCTCGTTCGCTCGCATCCCTGGGAGCTGGATGGGAGGCAGCAGGGTCCTGGTGGTGGTGATGAGTTCAGCAGCTCCTGGGCTCTCCAGCTCCGAGGCATGGGCCGACGATGAAGAATGGTTTAAAAAGAAACTTGGCGAAGGCTCTGGGAGGAACCAGCACGTGGCTAGAGGCTCGCCAGCTCCATCCCAACACCTCCAAGCGCATTGGGAGTGCAAGCCCAGAGACAGTGGCACCCCCGAGGTGCGCTTTGTGGAGGACCTCAGAGGTGCGGGCCGTAGAAGGGCCCGAGGTACGCGGGCCCCAAAAAGGGGGCGAAAGGGCCGGCGGCCAGCGGGAAGGGCGAGGAGGCCGGGAAGAGGAGCTCGGCGGCGGCGAAGGGGGGCAGAGTCCGGCCGGGGGGCACAGAGGGGCGCACCGGGGGGCTCGGGGGGCCGCGGGTGGCGGCGGTGCTGGGGGGCGCTGGGGCGGCCGAGCCGTCGGGGGGGGCCGGGTGCTGCTTCTTCCACTTGGTGCGGCGGTTCTGGAACCAGATCTTCACCTGCGTCTCGGTGAGGCTGAGCGACAGAGCCAGGTTGAGGCGCTCGCACACCGAGAGGTAGCGGGTGGCTCGGAATTTGTTCTCCAGGGCCACCAGCTGCTCGTAGGTGAAAGCCGTCCGGGCTCGCCGGGGTTTGGAGCAGCTCGCTTCGGCTCGGCGCCTCCTCCCTCCCCGCGGAGAGCCCGGCTCCTCCGGGGCTGCGGGACCGGGAGCGGGGCCGGGGGTCGTGCCGGCAGCCCCAGGGCTCTCCTCGGCCGCTGCCTCGGCTCCGCTGTCCGCATCTGCGGGGAGACGGCGGAGATCGTCAGGGGGCAGCGGCGGGGGTGGGCAGCATCCCCTGCGCCCCCCCGACGGCACCCGGCGGGGACGGGCGATGTCCTGGGACCGGGGGATTTGGAGCCCGCCCGGCGCCGTCCCTTTAGCCGGGGGGGGCATGGGGAGAGGTGTGGGTATGGGTGGCTTACCAATTAAAAGAGAAGTTATTAAAGTCCCCTTCTGAAGCGAAATAAATCCCCCTCCCCGCTCTCCTTCTCCTCCTCCTCCTCCCCCCCCCCCCTCCCCATCCCCGTGCTAATGGAGTTTCAGATTTGCGAGGGCCGGATCGATAGATGTCATCTATTAAAGGTAAGTTTTAATCGAACAATATTAGGATCAGGCCGGGGGAAGGAGGTTTGAAGTGGGTACCTGCAAGCTGCGGGCGGGAGATAGGCGGGAGCCAGTAATAGGATATCGATCAATGGGAGCCGAGGCATCCTCCGCCGGGGACGGGCTGAGCAATCCCCGGGGGGACGCCAGGACCAAAGGGGGGGGCTGGAACCGGGTCCGGGATCGGGTCGGGGCTCGGGACCCCCCTCCCTGCCCCGCTGAGGGCTCGGGGGGCTGCGCTGCCCGGAGCTGGGGGCGAGTCGGGGCTCCCCGGGACGCCCCCTCCTCGCTCGGGGTGCGGAGCTGGGGGGGTCCCGGCTTGAACCAGCGGGGCCAGGGGGGCTCAGCTCGCTCCTTCCCATCGCCGACACCCCGAGGAGGAGGCAGGAAACCCCAAAAACCCCCTCTCCGCCATCCCCACCCTCTCCGGGCTCGGGGGATGCTCGTCCCGTGGCCGGCACCTGCTCGGGGGCGAGGGGAGGAACTGGGGGCGCGTTTCCCTACCAGCCTCTTGGAGCTTGTCCCAGGCGCTCCCCAGGCGAGCAGCTCCCGTTCCCACTTCAACTCTGGCCAAACTTTTCTCCTGTTCGCCCCGGCTCCCCCCCGCCGCCGCCTCCGCCTCCGCCTGGTTGCGCCGGGTGAATTTCTGAGGATCCAGGATGTCGAGGATGGAGAAGGAGGAGATCCTATGCGGGGCGTGGGGGGGCTCCTTGGCCCCTCCGTCCAGGCATTGCGGCATCCCCCGCTCCTCTCCGCCTTATTGGGGGGGGGGGACCCGGAGCCGCCGCCGCCGTCGCCGCCGCCTCCCGCAGCCGCCGGCGGGGCGCTGGAGCCTCGGAGCGAGAGCAGCGGGGAGGAGAAGCCGGGCGGAGGGGCCGGCGGCGGGGTGGGGGCAGAGGAGGGGGCAGAGCAGCCATTGGCAAGCAGCCCCGAGCCCCCCTCCCCGCCGCCGAGCTCCGCGGGGGCGCAGCGAGCGCCGCCTTCCCCCGCCGAGGGGCTCCGGGGGGAGCGGGGGGAGCCCCGAGCCCGGGGACGTCCTCCCCTGAGCCCCCGAGGGTCGCGGGAGGGATGGGGGAAAGGGGAGAGCCCCTCCGGTTGAGGGTGCGAAGGGGATGTCTGGAGCATCTTCGGTTTCTTAGGGGCAGCTCGGGGCTGCTCGGGTCGCGCTCTCGGCCCTAAATCCTGCAGCTCAGCCCCGGTGTGGGCAGGGAAACTGAGGCACTGCGAGCGTGCCCTGCTGCCCCTAATCCTTTTGCTGATATAGGGCTGGCAGCAGCAGGTCAGGTCTCTCCACCCTGCTCCTCGGCCACTTCTGGTCACCCACGTTTCTTAGAAACTTGCTGGCAACCTATTTCTGTACCACTGTGGCTTTCCAAGGGGATGCTGTTCCCTCTCCTTAGCATTTCTGCTTGTTGTTGGGGCTGTGAGGTGTGGGCAAGGGCTTTGTTCAGCAAGGAGAGGCACAGGAAGGTAATGCTTCTGTCTGTCTGTCTATCTGTCTGTGGGAATGTGCTTCTCCTGCTTTTACTCGAGGAGGAGGTGAAGGCCGTGGCCCTCCTCATATCTGCAGGTGTCTCGGTTTCAGTTCCCTGAGATGAAAGTCAGTGACTTTCGAGGTAAAAATAAGGCACAGCTCAACGGGAACAGGTGCCTCAGAATGGGAATAGGGAGCAGAACTGGGCTTTCTACCTGTCACTGCAAAGGAACAGGAATTAGGGTAATGGGGAGCTGGAAGAGGAGATGAAGATGTGCAGGGAGATGCGATTGCAATTAGCTGCTCTGGTCAATTACATGGTGGCAGCATCCAGGGCCCCATTCAGCGCAGGGCTCTGGCATGGGACAGCACACGGATTGAGAAGAGAAGGGATCTGTGTCCCGGGGAGTTCACTCGGTGAGGCTGCACACCGATAGAGCTTAGTTTGGGGGATGCATCCTGCATGAAAATGAAGCCAGTGGGGAGCTGGAAGGCACTGTTGGGTGCTGGCACAGTGTTGGTTGTGCATTCAGCGTTACCTGAGGTACAGAAGGAGGAAAGGGGAGGGGAACAGTTACAGTTTCTGGACAGCACACCTCAAAAGGGACCTCAAATAAAGACAGTGGGTGTGAAACCTAAAAGTATTATCCTGTTCATATTTCTGAAACTGGATTCTTTTTGTTTGCCACAATGCTAGTTTCAAACTACGTGGAAAAAATCATAGGTATTGTGATATGGTAAATAGGTGTGTGGCTCACTTTGCTTTAAGGATGCTTGTCAGCCTTTGAGGCGCTGGAAATTTTTCTTATTTGGAAGGAAAAAATATAATCTGATCTGTGTGAGACTACAAATATTCCTGTTTGAGCTACCGCTGCTGCAAGAGCTTAGAAGGTAAATTGTAGTGTTGGGATTAATTTGTGAGCTAGCAGACATCTTCTTCAAATATCATCAGGTTAACACGTGCATAGAGGCTGACCTACAAACATACATGCCCATGGAAAGGCGCCCAGAAAAAGCAGACGTTCATGGATTGGTTTTAGCAGTCTGTTTGAAGTTGGTCCGTTTTCCAGCTCGAGCATTAAAATTCAGGCTGAGTGCTGTCTTTAAATTGCTTTGATGCTAGGTGGGTTTCAACCCTGACCTGTCCTGACGGCAAGTGATGGCTGTAACAAGCTGCGGATCAATATTCATAGCGGGTGTCCGGGACTGATAACACTATCCAAGACAATGTTCACTATCAGCGTGGACAGCTGAGATATTGCACTATTAGTGATGTTGTTTTAAATAACCCGATCCATTTCTGGGTCTATTTAATGAATTTCACAGTTTAGATATTATCTTTAAGGAGAAGCCAAAGGCTATTCCAGACGCCGTGATGCAAATCAATGCTGCCAAGGCTCCTCGGCTTTCCTTAAAACAAAGTGCCTGTGATTCCGCCACAGCTCCTGATGGATTCCGCGCTATTGATAGTATTAGCAATAAGGCGGCGTTCGGACTTTATCAGGGGATAAAACAGTATTGTCTGCAGAGCTGGAACAGCGCTGATAGGATCTTATCCGTGACGGGAGAACATTTTGGGCAGTTTTGCCCATAATTCGCCAATTCTTGTGCTTGGTGCTGCTGGGGGGCGCGGGGCACACGTGAGGCGGCACCACCGGGGCTGGCACAGCGCTGATCGTGCTTTGGGCATGGGGAGCTGGCTTTGTGGGGCTTTTTGGGGCTTGGTGGGCCAGTTGGGTGCTTTGGGGACTGTTTTTTTTTGTTGTTAGACGTTTGGGGCTCTGAGGCGCTCAGCCACAGCCCTCGGGGGTCTCACCCCGCGCCTCCCTGTGGAAGGGGAGCTCTGCCAAGGGAACCTCGGGCCTCACCGCCCCTTCCCCACGGACAGACCCGTGGCAAAGCCCAGGATGCCCCCAGGAAGGTCTCGGATGACTCAAAATACACCAAAAACCCCTCAAAACCCCCCCAAAACCGGGCTCCAACAACGGGACTCCATTGCCCGGCGGCCCGCGGGGCGGGCTGAGGCGGGGCCAAGATGGCGGCGCCAAGATGGCGGCCCAAGATGGCGGCGCCAAGATGGCGGCCTGGGCGAGGGGTGTGAGGGGGCTGCTGCTGGATATCAGCGGGGTGCTCTACGATAGCGGCGGCAGCGGCGGCGGGGTGCCCATCGCCGGCTCGGCGGAGGCGGTGCGGAAGTAAGCGGGGCCCTGCCGGGCCGGCCGAGGGCCGTGGGGGGAGCTGAGGGATGCGGGAAGCGAGTGCTGAGCGCCGCGGGGTTGTAGCAGCGTGAGGCGAGCTCCGCGCCTGGCGCTGCTGAGGGGTTCGGAGAGCCGGCAGTAAAGCACCACTGCACGGCCCGGGGCCGCTAAGGTGTTTTTTTAACGCTAAACAACGCTTAAGTGTTAACAGTGTGATGGGTAAGAGCCGCCAAGGGTCGTGTCTCTGGGACCGCCCTGCACCAAGACACCTGTGAGGAGTGCTTGACCCAGCAGGAAAAGGAACAGTGAGAAATGCTGAAATCACTGAAAACACTCACAGGAGTCTAGCTGAACGTGCACCTAAATGCTGGAACTGAGATGGAAAAGTCAGAACTGTTAAAGACCCACATGCACCGCTAATACAAGAAGTCTTTGCGGCTTTTTACTTTTTTATTAGACCCCTATTCATGTTTCTTGAAATACACGTAGCAGGCACATGCAATGCAAATAGACAAATCTGTTTTCTTCTGCACGGTCTGATTTTGCAGCACTGCCAGAAAGCAGCGTTTGAGGCAAGTTTAAGGTTTGTTGAGGCTCTGCAGCCCCACTGTAGGGTCCGCTGGCAACACCAAGCTCAGAGGGAGCCATGGTGTTGGGAAGGCTGGTGGGGGAGCAGTGAAGTCAGTGACATGAGGAAGGGGAAAAAGTTGCTTTTATAAAGACTTGGTATTAAAATCCTGTGCTTTGTGGGTTTTCCTTGAGTTGCTTCTGTCTCCATTCCTCTGTGTTCTCTGTACACAGCATCACAGCGTGGTTTCTGTCCTCGTGCTTTTCTGTAGCCATGCTAAAGGTTCTGGATTCAGAACAGACCCTAGAAGAAAAAGATGGTAATAAAATAAAAGCTTTTGTTTCCCCTGAAGCATAGAGCAGCCTATTTGCTAACTGTAGAGGCAGGTGCTTCTGGGTGCGACCTCTGCCAGGGTTAAACTTCCCTGGTTTCCCTTCTCATCTCGCTGAAATCCTCCCGGTGACATTATTTCCCTGCCCGTGAAGGAGCTCCTGCTCTCCCTCGTGCAGCATCCTGTCACCTCCCTGTGGCAGCACTCTGTCACATCTCGTTGAGTGGCACTTTCTGGTTATTTTGCTGGGCTCCTGGGTGCTGCAGTGGTTCCCCTCTGCAGGAGGAAGAAGAGGGGCCCCGGAGTTTGTTGTAGCCCAACAAACATCCCGTGCACAGGCAGAAAACTGGCGTGGGCTGGGGTCACCCACTCAGGAGGTTGTGGCTGCTCACAGCGTGGTCAAAGCTGTGTGTTCAGCAACGCCTGCTCAGGTACACATGCCCACAGCCCTTCAGTAAGGTTGCAAGAGTCAAAGATTAATTTTGTTTTATTTTCTCCATCATCTGCAGTGCCCTTTGTCTTGCAGAGAAGCTGCTTGGGTCCTTCTGCCAGAAACTTTTTGCGTGTCTGCGACAAAATGATTTTGTTGCCCTATGGCTCGTTGCCCCCTTGGTGAAATGGGGGTTTTACTTCTTCGTTTCTTTAGACTGCGAGTGCTTCGGGGGCCTCTCTCTTGGGCTGAATTTGTGCAGTGCTTAGCAGAGGGCAGCCCTGATTGTAGCTGAGGCATTCAGGCATGGCCATAATAAACATAAATAACAACAGCCATATAATTACTGTCTGCAAGCAGATCTCTTCTTTATAAACCAGGACGTACTTAATAATATCTGTATCACAGATCCCCAGATGTTTTTGACATATTGTTTGTTTCTCCTGGGTTTTTAAACTTTATTTTTGGTCAGGTTGCAGACTGTTATTTCCTGTCACTGCATTTGCTGAAACTTCCCATATGGAGGCAACATAAACTGCAGTTTAACTCAGGGCAATGCCAGAAATGCGCTGTTGAAACAACAGGAAAACTCTGGCCTTGGGCTAAATGTAAGATATTAATGGCTTTCTCGTGAAATACTGGAAATGTCTAGCCCTCGTTGCTGTTAGGGGGTTCTGCATCTCAGCAGCTAATTCGACCTGGCTGCTCGCCTGATGTAGCTGGGGCTTCAGGGCACCTTTGAGGAGGGTTGGGAGATGCTGGGAGAGGAAAGCTGAGTTGGTTTGGGCAGGGTTTGGTGAACGGGGATGGGGACAGCACGGTGCCTGCATGTGCAGGTCCTGTTTCTGGGACAACACGAGTGAGTACTGAAAAGCACTAAGAAGGGGGAAAAAAAAAAGTGTATTTTGTTTGGGTCATTCGATGTAAGTGGTTAAGAATAATCATTTTCCTTGGGTAGAGTCAAACAGCCTTATTTATCTGCCTATTAGGTTGGTAATTGTTCTAGCTCGCACCATTTAAAATCTTTATTTGCTCATTATCCCATTACCAGGTGATCATTAGTATTTGTGTCTGCCTCATGGTACAGCTCGGTGGTTCCCTGCAAATGGGGCAAACCTAAAAGTGGCTCTCTCTTAATTAATGCATTTTTGTATCAATTAGAAAGTCATAAATGCAGATAGCTAGGAAGCTTGTAACTGATTCAGATTGATAGGATCTTTTGCGAAGAAACATACCTAAAATTTCTTAGTGCATATCTATTCTAAATGTCAGGTGTAACTTAAATGCCATTTTGATAATTCACCCTATGGATATGGACTCTCATAAAGAGACAGCTGATCTGTTGCCTTCAGATTGTCTTCCTGCATCATCTCCCACAGCATTACAGCAATTAGCTTCATGTAACAATGTATACTATGCACCAATAAAAAAGCATAAGTAAATATTTTCATTTGCTATAGGCTTCATAGGACTGAAGTCATTTCAGCTCTTCTAAAACTATATTTGCTGCGTTACTTTTCTTGTGTTCTGCCAAATTCTGCTATGCAGGGATTTCAGTTAGTGTTTGAGAAAGCAGCAGTGTAATTTTTGCCAGCAGAATTTGGTCTGCTTTATATTTAGGATGGCTGCAGGCGGTCGCTTCTCTCATTTCTTTTTGTTTTTAGCTAGCAGTACAGTCAGATGGAGCGGAACAATCATGGAAGAAGCGGATGGACTCTGAAATGCCCTGATCAAGATGTCATTCAGTAATACTGTCTGTACCTTAGAGATCCCCTGAAGGAATAGGTCAGTAGTCACTACCCAAGTTGGTATTACTTGCGAAGAAAAGAGTAGTGCTTCATTTCTCACTAATGCACCTGCATCTCTGATAACTTTTACCCACGAAATACTTTAGGATTCAACATACGCTGGGAGGAAGTTGGTGAATCAGAGGCCAAAAGGGTGAGCCATAGAAGGATTTGTTGTACAAAGCAGATGTCCTTCTGAATACTTGGCCAAACCATGGCAGATATGCACCCTTGTGGCTAAGGACATTAGCACCAGAGTTTTAACCCAGAATCCAGAGTATCAAAGATGTCATTAAACTCACTAGAGACTGCTGCTGTTAATTTTGAGTGGGGAAAACGGAGCTGCAGGGGACTAGAAAATTCAGAAAATTGCTTGATAGGATAATTTGGCCCTTTAAAACTTTCAACCCACAGCATTTCCTGATTGTTTAGCTTGCTGGGACATACATGTTATTATTATTTATTTATTTATTTGTTAAGCCTTTGTAAGAGTTGAATAAAGCATGTCTCTTCCGAGCGTGTGCGGATAGCTGGCAGACAGCGCGGTGGTGTTTGTAGCAGATGAGAGAGCCCATCGGTGACTTAAAGACTTCTGTTGGAGCCAGCCTTAACAGTGCCTCTGGCCGTGCTCTTGTTCCCTTAATTGATTTACACAGCATTGACATGAGGTGAGCCATTCGCTTTTTATCTCCCAAATAGTAGGGAGCTGGTCTCTTCCAAGACAGAAGGTGGTTAAAGAGCCATAAAAGATGCCCAGCCTGAGCTCTGTTATTTGCATTTACAGCTGGGTGCTGATAGTGTGTCCATTAGCATATCCATATGAAAAGCACGCAGTGGTTGGACATTTACAACATCCTGTTGTTCGGCCAGGATTGGGCATCTGTGAGCACAGCCTTCCTCCACCTCTTGAAAAGAGCAGCGGAAATCTGGGGCGCGGGGAGGCTGTGGAGCAGCTGGACGGCCGTGTTAAAACCAGGTACCTGGAGAGGCGAACAAGGCGAAGATTGTGAGGAGAACAAGCGGAACGGGGACTGTAAAGCAATTCAGCGTGCGGGGGTTCGGGTGGGACAGTTGTGGGTTTACAAAGAGCCATCTGAAGGGTGTGTGGGAGCAGGAATAAGAAATCTTTGTTGCAGCAGAAGATGACCCAAGCGTGGCTCAGCTTGCTGCAGACGTGCGAAGTTTCCACATTTGCTACACACAGCGGCAAAGGAGTCGTAGAAAGAGGCTTTCAAATAAACTGTACAAACTCCAGGGTAAATATTCATTTGCTTGTCTTTACGCTTAATTCTGTTAGCAGATTTTATCCACGGATCCCAAAGGAGGCTGAGTGTTATCACCTGCCCTTTCTGGGTGAAGCTGCAGAGACACAAAAGGATGAAAAAGTTCTGTGTAGTCGTGCAGCTGTTCACAGGCAGAGCCAGAAGCAGAGCCAGGAACGGATCCTCAGTGGCTGTAAAGTTGTTCGTAGCTGCACAGCAGTCTGTGGCCCCAGATTTCTTAGAGCACTGGACTTTTGCAAACCTGCGTTTTCTTCCCTAATCAGCAGTGTTCATTATTATTTTAAAAATATCTGTCCCCAAAAATGTAGAGATTCCAAGCAAGTGCTGCCTCTGGAAATTGCATGAACAAGTGCTTGCACTTTTGGAGTTTAAACATCATTAACCTCTGGGGTCTTCAGCTATTTACTGTCCATCAGCACAAGTATGTGGCATACAAATATTTTCCAATAAGAATAATAGAAGATATTACTGTGATACCTACTGAGCAACAGCACTTGTTGTTCTACCACCTCATATAAATACCAATGAATCCTGGAATGGATAAGCAGTCCTTTGCCTCACTCTGTGCTTTAGAACTTAAGTCATGTCTCAATTTACCACTGCTGTATTGTTTATTTATTTTTTCCCTGTCTTTCGTGTTTGGTGAGCTCAGTCTGGAGTCTTAAGAATCCAGCCCAATTCTTTGCATATCCTCACCGATATCACCATTACTTAGTCCTAAAGGTCTTCATTAAAATTGCACTGTCTTTGCAGGTGATGAGCTGGAAGGAGTAGCTCTTAGCTCTGCTGCTGCTTCCAAGTGCAGCAAAAGGTGCAAGAGTCAGCTGAGAGATTCAGCGGGTATCTAAGGAAGATCAGCTGTGTTTTCCTTGCCTTGGGGCAGCTTATACCTGCACGTGTTTGTGTCATTAACAGTGGATCACTTCCAGATTAAAATCACGCTAAATTTGCTGGAATGCAGTTTGTTCTTTGAACTATTGCCATGAAATAGTATGGCACTCTCTGAAGTAGTGTGCAAAGCATGTGAAAGTGAGTTCTTTCTTGATTAAAATGAAATAAAATAGACTAAATGAAACCTTTTGACAATTATTTTTTTTTCTAGACCTAGAATCAGTTATTTACCAACAGATGATATTTGTATATGGAGTAAAAGTATGATGATGATAGCTTGGTTTTGACTGAGCTTTCATTGAAATAATTAGTGGCTTCAAAGGCAAAGTAACTGCTTTTGGCAAAGAATTAAAGCTATTGGAGCTTTTGCTCCAATGAAAATGTTTCATGAGTCCATGAAAATGTTTTGCTTAATACAACTAAATGTATTCCAGACAGGTTCATGCTATCTGAACCCCCAAAAGCTCTGATTTTTTTTATTCTTCACAACTCCCAAGTGGAGAATTACCAAGTATTTTAAGCCTACCAGTTTACTTTTGTTCCATGACTCTGTAGGCCAGCCAGCCAGTGTAAGATGACGTGGAAGCCCTCATTCAGTTCCTGCTGTATGGTTGAAATCTGCTGGTTGGAATACTTTAAGCCAATTTGTTAATCTGTAGCAGTTAAATGCATTTTGTATGTGTGTGCTTATATTTCACTCTGTGCTTCCTTCCTACAAATTCCCTTCAAATTATTTCTAAATTCTAATTTCACTTATTTCTACATTTTAGTGTTGGGGCATATCGTTGTCTACACATCAGTGCCCTGTTCAGGCAGGTGGAATATGATTTATACTATCAAGTAACTTGTCCTCCAAACCTGTTGGATGACGTTGCCAGGCTCTCGGGCTTCTGCCTCTTGCAGGACGAGGCTTTCTGTCACCCTGCCCACATGCACAGGAACCTGCTGGCTGCCACCCAGCCCTCCTGGTGGGACAAACCCTGGCTGCAACTCGGGGTGGGTGGTTGGTGAGGGGATGTCTGAAGTTTAGCCTCATGCCACATCCTTAGTTTCTTCTGCCGTTTGCAAGACAACGTGACTTTAGGGAGTGATGGCTTTTCTGGATCCTAGGGCTGTTTCTCTTCCCGCTGGTGTCACAACCTCTGCGTCGTCGAAAAGAACAGCTTTTGTGTTTTATATGCCCAAAGTCTGCCCGTAAAGGTTGGCAAGGGCACTTGGTTGTCTGCACAAGGTCAGCCAGGATGTCTAATAATTGTCCTAACACTTTACCTGTTATGGAACAATAATGAGAGTTTTTTCATTATTTTCGGGTGAGTGAACCTGGCAGATGCTGACAGCCAGCAGATGTGTAAAGTTCGAGGTGATTTGTAAGGGACCGGCTCATCTGACGCACGGTAATTGCACTGCGGGACATTGTCACTCAGCGTCTTGTCCCGCTCCGGCAGGATGAGGTAAAGGTCAGTTCAAAGAGCCGAGGGACGGTGCTGGGCTGAAATTAAAAACCTCATCTCCGTATCTCCGACCTCCGTACCCTCACCACGTGCCTGGTGCTGAGCAGGAGCCCCCAGCTCTGGATTTAGGGATCCTGTGGGCGACCAAATGGGTGTTTCGGTACGGAGTGGGCTTAAATCCCTCCTGTGGTGAGGCTTAGAAACTCTCCTCAGCCACCTGTTGGGGTTTTAGTCCTGCCTGTTTGTGATTTGGGGCCTGGAAGTTGTTTGGGCTGCTTTGCTCAGTGCCCGTGTGGTGGGATCAGTGCCATGATGGGCACACGGGGCCTGCCCAGCAGCACCGGGGTGTCCGTGGGCCTCAGGAGCATGGGGTGAAGCACGGCCATGTACATCCCCCACACCTGCTAGCACCAGGCGTTGCAGGACCCTGCTCATCCGTGCCTTACACCGTGCACACCAGTTGCTGCGACAGCTCAGAAGCTCAGGGCTTGCTGTGAAGAGTTGCCTCGCTTTGCCAGGCCTCTCATCTCTGCTAGGCAGACCTTCAGGTTGTTTCTTTCAGCTTAGCAAAGCCTGGCCATGAAAACTGAAGGAGAGTTTTGCTATAAACGTGAGTGGATTCGGGATTTCCCCCACGCAGAGCTGTCGTTCAGAGCTCTCCCTGTTTCTTTAAGCCCCGAGTTAATGGTTGTTCGCCGACAGGGATGGTCTGCGGGCTCTGGTCACGGTCTGTGTGCTGAGCACTGAGGGGTGGAGTGGTCCTGGCGTGTGTGTAATCGTACTGTTGTGTAAGGATTTGGCAGAAGCCTATCAAAGTTTTTTTTGTGTTTTTTTTTTTTTTTTAAGAGATTCCAACTTTGAAAGCACAGGCGAGTTCTCATTGAAAAGGTGTTTTTCTAGAAATAACTCTTCTTTGTAGAGTAAGGAGTTTTTCTGTTGATTTTCTTTTGTTTAGTGTTCCAGGGTACTACTCGGAGTTGTTTCAGCCAAAGAACAATTTTCTGACCAACCTGGCTGATTTTTTTCTGGACCTATGACTAACTTACTGAGCTCATTTGTTGAGGCGACAGTTGCTGGTGCTCACTAAGGCTTGAAGCAGTCTGGGATGTGTTCAGCTGCTTCCACTTTGGACATGCATTTCAGAAGTGTAACTGTGGTTTTCATCTAAAATTGTGAAAAGGGAGTTAAATTTTAGTAGTATAAGAAAACCCAGTCTTTGCTTTTACCAAGCTGAGCTGTGAAGGCACATTTATTTGTCTGTGCAACTCAATGGTTAGTGTTGTTCCTGAATTCATTTAATTGACCTTTGAGAAGAGAGGGAATAGATTCTTCTTCAACAAATGTCTGTTTCCAGACGATCATGAATCGTGAGGTTTTCTACCTAAGAGCGTGGAGATAGGCTTTGCCTTTGGAATAAGCTTTTTTTAACCACAGCACACTTTGTTCAAGTTTATGTATCCAAATTACATTGCTTTGCTTTTTAACCACAGCTGAAACCGTGTTTTGAATAACAGATGTGGAATACTGTCATCTCACTGTCACACCAATTGTTCATTGTTCTGAGAAGGTCACATCATAATTCATTAACAATAATTATTCCCTGGGTACACCCTGCACTTCTTCACTCAATTGCTTCATTAACTTGTGAGCGAATCTCACATTCACTGCTCCAATCAATGAAGATATATTTATAATGTACAAGTGGATGCTATTAGTTACAATATATTAACTGCCTAATTTAAAATAGAAAAGCTATCTTTATGAAGGGCAATTAACCACTAAGTGTAATTGATAATTCACATACCTATGATTAGGAAAGACAAATAATAAGAAAGAAATGAATCACCTGTATTACTGAAGAAGACATTGGCATGCAGTTTTAATGAGCACAAGGGACTCTTTGGGTCAGGACTGGATTTCTAAGAATTGTTTGATACAAAGTTCTTCGTTGGATGTCTTACCTCGAGGTGATTTTGGTGTTTACATCAACCTGTTGGGATCCTCTTCCCTAGGAAAGGAACCCACACGTTTTGTTGTCTCGAGAATCAATGCGGGGGGTTTCCTAGTAGAAAACATTTTTTCATCCTAACACAAAGAAACGTAGTAATATTTCAGTAAGAATTGATAAGCCTCTGGACCTATTCACACTAAAACTAACAAATGTTAGGCAAAGCACTGAGATACCTTTTAAAGGTCCCTGTTTTGTCACGACTGCATTGAAACACAATGGTTCTCCAAAAGGCAGACAACTCATCTTCAGAGCAGAGGCCTTTTCGTGACATCCCCAGTGGCTCACTGCAGCTCAGTCATCAGCTTGGCAGGGTGAAGTGATTCTGGCACAATGCAGTGAAGAATGGTTAGAAATAACATTTCGTTTCCTGTATGATGACAACTAGATGAAGTGGTTAAATTTTCATCTGTAGGTGTTGAAACACGGTGTTAGCACCCGTGTTTGCAGGGGGGGAAGCAGAACTGCTGAGGCAGAGGACTTGCATGAGATCACAGAGCACTGATCCACAGGAGGGGTGTCCTTGGCTCTGGGCACCTCAGGCCGTATTTTCTTTCCTTCCTCGAGAAGTCAAAAATATTTATCAGTAAACATTTATTAATAAATCAGTTTTATGAGAGATTGCGTGATAAATGTGACCGAAGCCATCCCTGTGTTATAAAAGCATCCTTCTTGTAGCATGATGCAGCTAGCTGGCCTCTTACTTGGGGTCTGCAGAAGTGCAAAACTGCTTTTACATCTCAAACACTGATCCACCACAGCAGACGACCAGTAAGTGGACAGGTGAAAATCCCAGTTAAAATGCTTATAACCATAAATTGCTCCAGTTTCTGTACTCATGGCCGTGCAGTTCGTGTGTGTACATCCATGGACTGGTCTAACAGTAACTGGATGTGAGGGTTTCTGATTGGGAATTCTACGGGATTTCAAGAAAGGTAGATACAGATTTATGGCAGGGGATCTGCATGTGGAACTTGTAGTACTTCAGTGTATTTTAGGGATGCCTTGGTCATGGTAAGGGTGACAGAGCACTGGAACGGGCTGCCCAGAGAGGCTGTGGACTCTCCTCAGAGATATCCAAAACCCACCTGGATGCCATCCTGTGCAATGTGGGGACATGTTAGATGTGGGACAGCAAAGCTGATACTCCCAACTCTGTTTTATGTGCAGTTAACTCCTCTGTTGCTTTTACACGACAGGATCAAAGCGTCTGGCCTAAAGCTGCGGTTCTGCACCAACGAAACACAAGCGACCCGAGAGAAGTTTGTGAAGAAGCTTCAGGGCCTGGGCTTTGACATCTCCGTGGCTGAAGTCACTGCCCCGGCACCAGCAGCCTGCCGCCTCTTGAAGGAGCGTGGACTGAGGCCACACTTGCTCGTGCATGACGGTGGGACAGTGCTGCAGCACACACTGGGGCTTGGGAGGGGACAACCCAGAGGGATGTGGGGATTTGTGATAGAGCAGCTTGGTGGGGGGAACTGCCCCCAGCTGTGATGCTCCTACTCTTTCCTAAGTCACGAATTTCTGTAATAAACTTAATGACTGGATTTATATATTTTTTATTTTTATTTTTTAATGTTTCAAGCAAAGAATGAAAGCAAACACAAATCTAGGAGAAAATCATCAGATCCAACAGGATATGCAGCAGTAAGGGATTTGTTATTTTTTTTTTTCCTTTAGATCTTGTCCCTGAATTTGCTGAGATTGATAAAACAAACCCAAACTGTGTGGTTGTTGGGGATGCAGCAGAAAACTTCTCCTATGCAAACGTTAATGAAGCTTTCCGAGTTCTGATTGGGTTGGAGAAGCCTGTGCTGATCTCCCTTGGAAGAGGGTGAGTTGAGCACTGTTTGTTTTCTTCTCTAGTCTGCGTGTTTTTTAATTTCACCCAGTAACTTCGTACCTAGTGGAAGCCAGATGGTGATGTGGGCATTCACACTGCTAGCTTTTAAGCAGTTAGTCCATGTGTTCAGACCTGATCTGCTCAGGTATCTGTCAGTGAAAAATCCTCAGTAAGTAGGTAGTTTAGTCATCGAATTTGGCTTCCTGTCCTGAGTCACTTATTTGTAGACTTTCCAGTGATGTAATGAGAAACTCATGTGGTTATGCTGAGTTAGGTCTCTAAAACTAGGTGGTATGGATGCAGCACTCACTGGGATGAGTTCCATTTCAAGAGGAGGAGGAGGAATTGTAGCAGCCTTTAGAGAACCGGGACACACTGTTGTATACATGTAAGTACTACAAATTCTAGCCTTCCATCCTTCAAAGTCATCATTCAAGGGTGAGCTAGACCTCAATGAAACAATCCACGCGTTTGCAGGTGGTGGTGGGAAGGTCAAATAACAAGTTCTGAAAGCCACTGGGAATATACGAAGATATTTTTAATTCATATCCTTTACCAAAGGTAAATTTTGAGCACCCGTTTTCATACACAGGAGAAGTCCAGTCAGGGGATTTGGATGTTTTAGTAAAAACAATTCAGTTGGATGTATTCTGGGATTTTAAACAGGTGGTTATTAATGGCAGTGCTGAATAATGACAAATCCCCACAGCCTTGGCGGAGTTATTCTTATCTGCTGACCAGTGTATGGGCTTAAAAAAAGAATACACATGTTTAGTTGGAGGAAACCATAATGACTTTTTTTTCAGTGGTTCAATAGACCATAATGGGCATGAAAGCCCTTCTTAGTCTGTGGATTATTGATCCAGCAGGGTGGAATTTAACAGCGGGAAGGAGCAGTTAAATCCAGTGTGTTTCCATACCTCACACTTGCACGCTCTGATCCTGTAACACGGGGAAAAAATCTTTACAATTTTTTGGTGAGAAGGATAAGGAGAAAATGATATGAGCCAACAACATAATAGCTAATGTACGTAAAATAACCTAGTTTTGTGTCACATAATACTGCCTTTCAAAGATAAATGCAGAATAAACCTTTGTTTAAGATTGGCAGCATGAGCAATGCAAAAATGCCTTTGTACCCCATGCATATAAAATATTTATTCCATCATTCATTGATGTAGACAGTTCTAAAACAGTATTTTTTTTTTAAGGATTTTTTTTTTTAATGGGAAATAACGCATGGTTGGACTTCCTGAGCTCAATTTTCATTGTGAACATCCTGTTTTATGGTCAATCCTTTAGATACTGTGAACATGAGTTCTGCAACAAATGCTGAAGAAGTTTTCAGACTTGAAGAACGGAGATTATAAACTGGATTATTTATCAGTTAATAGCTAAGAAGCATCACTGATGCCAAGGGCTGTAGGAAAGACAAAAACAAAACAAAACAAACAAAAAAAAAAAACACACAAACCAGTTTCATTGTTTATGTATGGAATGAGTGTAATTGGTAGGACCTTAACAACACCTCTACCTTGAGCAAGCAGGTTGATTTCTGTTGAAGTTTTAGTTCATTCTATGGAAAACGAAAGTGTCAGAGTCACTGAAGCAGAATGCCCTCCTCCTGAAAATGGAGTGATTTACATTTAGCATCTGTTTTGGGCTGAGAGTGGGAATTGGCTTTGTAATTTCTTCTGTCATGCCACTGTCAGAAAATTAAGCTGTTTACGCTAGACTATAGAAGGTTAATGGCTGTTCTAGCAAAGGTCAAGTGGTCATTTTAAAGGGAAGCTGTGCTGAATAATCGAAAATGGCAGAAGGATAAGGCATAAAATCTTAACTGACTGCTCATCCTACATTTTTCTTCTCTGTCATACAGAAACCTGTCTTTGCTCTGATAAGGACGGCTTGGAAGACCCGTGTTAACGTGATTTGCTAGTCCAGAAAAATGCCAGAAAGATAGAAATTAATTGGGGAACTTTATGGCAATAGGAACATTTTTAGAAGGAGCAGAACTTAGCTTTGAGGGCTTTCTTAGTCGTGATAGCAAAGAGAGCTTAAACAGACTTTTCTTGTGGGGAAGGTTTGTGATAAGCCATTGGTGGTCGAGTGCCTGGAGTCTCCTTCCAAACTTTCTGGAGGAGGTGTTACAGCTGCTGGTTGGTGCCAGTCCTTGTGTGACATCTGCCAAAGGGTCTCTGAAGAGCGATGTAACTACTGGCCTTCATGAGAAACTAGCACTCTGTGCAGTAGAAAATGAGCCAAATTCATCCCTAATCCAAGCTAGAGGAAATCCCTTTGAATGAGTAGAATTGTGCCCTGGATGCCAGAGAGATACCTGGTCTGAAATCTTTTCCCCAGCACTGCACAGTACTCAGCCTGTCCTTTACTTAATTCCTGGTGCTAAATTAAGGCTTCAGAGTTTCTGATGACTTGCCTTTTCGGTGCAGCCATATGGACATCTGTATAGGCACAGAAATAATAAAATGTACTTTCTTTGTGTTTAACTGCCAACACTTTCATTTCATTGGAACTTTATCACTTTCATTTCCAGACGCTACTATAAAGAAACTGATGGCCTGAAACTTGATGTTGGAGCATATATGAAGGCATTAGAGGTATTTTATAGCTTGCTTTATGCTTACTCGCTCTGTGCACCTTGTTAAAGAGTAACTGGTGTAAATATGGGTTGTCTTCTGTAATTACTCACCTTGGTAGAGGAAGTTTCCACAGACTGAAACTCATTTGCTGCATTCTAAAGATGGTTGGATTTATATTATTCACTTTTTCTGTATTTAAAACGGGAACTTTTACCATCATGGTACCTTTATTGGAAGTGAGGCCCTTGAAAGGAGGAGTCAGAAAAGAAAAAATACAGTATGTTGTCTGCAAGATATCCAAGAAAAACTGTTTCTGTTTGGCATAGCATTTAACACAGCTCTTGCCCTTAACAGCTTACAGCATAAACCCCTTATTCAGCAAGATTCTTATGTGTAGTCCTGTGTTTAAGCCTGATTAAGTCTGTGCATAACTGGAACCCAATAGATAAGCCAACCTAAGGGTGAGAGAATGAGAGAATCATTATCCTTCTTTTTACAGGCTTGCAGAGAGATTTTAGAAAAGTAAATACAGAGGGAATTCAGAGAAGGAAGCAAAGTAGGGGAATATACTCACTACTCCAATACTTTTGATCGTTTCACGTGAAGGATATTTGTTATTTCTGTAAGAGTGATGCTCTTACAAAAATGAGTGATACTGGAACTGGCTAGGAAGACTGCTGCTGTGATGGAGAATGAAACAGATTTGTAACTTGAGATGTTTCAGGATGATTTTCTCTTCTGACAGAGAGCATTGAACCCTCCCATTATCCAAACCATCAGATAGCTATCTTCATCTGCTAATCCATTGTGTTATTTAAGGGCAGAGATCAATAATCACATACTTCTTATACAATTGACTGGAATTACAGAGTTGAACAAATCCTTTTCTGATCTATATAGCATTATTTGTCTCTTTTTTTTTTTTTTTTTTTTTTTTTTTTCCAGTATGCCTGTGATGTTGAAGCTGAGGTAGTGGGAAAACCAGCAAAAGCATTTTTCGAGTCAGCCCTCGCAGAAATGGGAGTTCCGCCACAGGAGGTAATGTTGCTGATGCCATGACTGTTGACTGTGCCACGTAGTTATGCCCCTACGCTGGTTTGCTGTCTTTGACAGAAAGTTACAGAAGACATTGAGGGGAGTGTGGCCTTGAGGACATGGTAAACACTGGGTGGAAATACACTGGGTCTGGAAAAAAAAAAAAAAGGTTTTCATACATGGTGCAAAGAAATGCTTATATTCAGGATCTTTCTATGAATTACTAAAAAAAATCTGAAAGATTGCTTTGGAGGGGAAGAAAAATGTTTTACCCATTCTATCAAATAATGTGAAGGACTGAGAGTCAAGAGGATAAATGGTAGCAGGTTGGGGTCTGTTGAATATTTTCGGCCTTGCGTGTACTTCCTACCCTCCTGGAAGGCATGGCATTATCTTTCCTCAGAACTTCTTTGCTGTCCTGAGGGTTTTTTTGACCATTTTCTGTTTCCCTTTTCATTCTCTTCTGTTTGCTCTGACTTTTACCATCTGTATCTTTACCTACTTTAGTTTTCCATCCTAATTTCCCTAATGTGGTTTCTCTCTTTACTTGTGTTCTTGTGATGAGCCTTCTTATTCACCTTCATTCTAAACCACGTAGTTCAGAAGCACGTGTACTTCTATTGAGAATTCCTTTATTTGGAGACTAAGGAAACCAATACAAAGGAATAAAGGTCAGGTTTCCCAAGGAATTATGGAAGACGGTGTGCTTCACAATGTAAGAGATACCATGAAGGCTGCAGCCTGGTGGAATTGCAGCTGAAATGTTATTTCCTTTGCTGTCACATTTTATTTTTATTTTTTTTTAGTACAGTAAAGGGGGAAAGGCAGAAGTAACGGAAGCACTGTCTGACCCCAAAACTCTTCTCATGTTACTGGTTTCATCAGGCTTTCCAGAAACACACCGACTGTGTGATGCTCCCTGCTTACTTAGCACGGCCCCCTTTTTTTTTCCTCCCTGTAGTTGTGCCCTCTTTATTGATTTGTTGTCGTGTCGCACAGGACATAGGGATGAGTATGAGATGACTAACAGACGACAGTGAATTACAAGGCAATAACTCCATCACGGGCTTTTGGTGACATCATAAACAACAGGAGTGAAGTTTGGGTGGCTTGTAGGTCCGTGGAGCCTGGAGAAGAAATTATGGCCCTGTAATTCACTATGTGCTTGGGTCTTACTTTATTATAGAATGGGAAGATGGAAAAGACCTTGCAGGCCATCTAATCCCTCTCCTTCCCCATGCAGGAGTGTTCCCTGCTCCATGTTGATCAGTGTTTTGTGCAGAGTGGTTTTCAGTGAGCAAACAACTGGGCTTCTTTAAGTACCCGAGGGACAGTGTTCACATCCTCTAGTAGATCTCATGAGCTGGCAGCTTTTTCTGAGATCTGTTGAGATGCTTCCCATTGAAACTCTGTATCCTTATTTCTAGTTTTAGTCCAGGTAACAACCAAAATAAACTGTGTTTAGCTCTCAGCAACTTTCCTTGTGATCCAGTCGCTCTGCACCCTAACCTGCTGCAGTGCTCTTTTCGGTACTCCCTTCAGTTTGTCAATATCTTCCCGGTAACAACATAGCTCAGCCTGAGCAAAATATGCTAGGTATTGAGCAATTACTCAATCCATTCATCCAACCAACAAACCAAAAAAATCCATTTCAGAAACCGAATGGCATTTCAAGAAAAAGATAGCTGGAAAAAAAGAACAGAGAAAAACAAAACAAAACACACAGAGCTCAGCCCTTGAATTTTATGCCTCTAAATCAGAGGTATGAAGGTTTATGTTTTCTTTCTGCTTGTATAAGGAATGAACAGTGTGCTCTTTTGGGGTTTTCTGTTTTGAGGTCCTGCGTATGGACATTAGTTTCCCTTTTCCTTAGGCAGGACAGTGCAGTTGTCCTCAAGCTTTGTTTTGCCACCTTGCCACCATGTCAGTCCCTGCTGCTGTGGGAGAACATCATCACAGGGATGTGTTTCCACGCTGGGCTGCAACACCACACCCCATTTCTCAATGAGTTTCTTGTTTCTCGTTGCCCCAGAGAACCAAATTTGAGCAGATGATTTAATGCATCACCAGCCTGGTATAAAAATGGTCCCATAGGGTAAGCCCTGGGGGCTGGTTCTTGTTAACTTCAGGAGGATTGGTTTGGGTAGAGAAAAGTGGTTATAGCCCTTGGAGAGATTATTATTTATTCAACCTTTGCTAGATTTTCACAGTGCTACTAGTAACTAGCTTTATATTTTGACAGATATTTTCTTCCCAGATAGTTTCTAGTATGAAATGCCACCAGTTTCTAACAATAGGCCTGGTCTGTAGCTGTAATTTTTCTTACACAGAGAATGAAGATAAAGGACATATGCACCTCACCAGCAGGTCTGCAGTAGGTACCACTGCATAATGGCCCTGGGTGCCTTGTCGGTGTTCTCGGCGATGGAAAACCAGGGCTCGCTGCTGTAATTAAAAACTAGACCATGAAGAATATGTGTGGGAGGAACAAATTACAGAAGAGCCGTAATTGTAGTGTATTTTCATAACTTTTGAGTGCTTGACCTTGCAACTTTAATGTTCTTTCGAGACGGATTTGCAGGTTGTGTTGGTTGGTCATACATAATAATAGAAACGCGGTATGTGCAGTGCAGTAAGTTCCTCAGTAGTGCACCCTGTGAGGTTTTAATCTGTCTCCCAAATGAGCTTTACTTCTCTGTGCTTGTAATGACAAGATGAGCAGTGGCTGTACTTGCCTTTACTTTTATAAAATGTTTACCAGTAATTTATTCCACCTGTGGCATGCGTTTAATCCATACCACCATTAAACCATTTCGGATGAGCTGCGCATCTGAAAACATTACAATTTTCTTTTACCTGACTTCTAATGAAAAATAGCTTTTTAATAAAGCTGTCTCACCGCAGTAATGCTAGACAGTGGCAAATCTTAAATTTCTCAAGCTGCTTTAATCAATAAAGTTATCACCAGTCATTTCCCTGGGTAACTGCTTCTTACCGAGACCCTGACTTTACCTTCTGCTACTGAGATGTTTTCAACCTGCACTTAGACTAGGAGGAACTCCCTGAAGTCCAATTTTCATTTTAACCTTTCCTCAATGGCCTAGAAATAACAGATTGCCAGTATTACTTTAATAGATTGGAAATTTAAACCTCTTAGAGGTAACCAGACCTGTCTTATGATTCAGTAATATGACAAAGAATAACACATCTTAAAGGTTACCGAAATACCTAATTCATGTGTTTTAAGGCGGCTGTAACAGTGGATGATTTTTACAGCTTTACAATAAAACCTAACTAACGTTAAGGCTGCCGTACTTTTATATAATCATAAAAAGTTCTGTCTGTAGCAAATTGTCCAGCCTCAGCGGGAGTTATGGCAGGTTATACTCGAGTCCATAAAGTGCTGGTAGTTAACCAGCTCCCATTTCGGCCAGCTGCCTGGCCCAGAGGGGAGGTAGCGGTGCGTGAGAGCACAGGCAGGTCACCCTCACCATGCCCACCAGCCCTGCTCTGCTTCTGGGGCTGACGGGGAATATTTTCCATCTCGGAGAGAAGAGCTGAGCAGCCACGTGAAGTTTCAAGCGTTGAATCCTGCTGAAAGCATATTTAAACTCAGCTGGTTCTGGGGTTTTTGGAATCTGCCCTGGAGGTTTGGTGTATTTCTGTGTTTCGCCTGCCTGATACAAATTCTGCCAGGTCGGAGGCCACGTGTGGTGCCTCGCGTGTGTTTGTGGTTTGCACAGCCAGTAGTTCCTGGATAGAAGTACAATTAACAGGAATACGGGGTCCTGAAGCCTAGGAGATTGCCACGGGGAGAAAAATAAATGTGTCATATTCATTGTGTAAAGCGTCTTTAATTTTAATCAGGATTTTCTGCATGCGCTTTATTTCTTTACATCCTTGGCACCTTTAACTTTGCTGTTAAGACTGTAGCAAAAACCTGCTTAGGCATAAATATTTTCGACTCTGGAAACATTCGCTGTGTTAAATACTCTTGAAGTTTCTTTTCCGATCAAACATGTTAATGTGATTTTTTTTTAATGAATACTAAAACTCTGTTTGCAGAGGAAAAAATAGCAAAGGTTCCCCTTCACCCATCTCTGAAGCTGTCCGTGTTAGTAGGTGAGAGGATTTCTCCAGCTGGGATCGTGTTGTGCCCTGAATCCTTAGAGCTCGTGTTCATCTCCTCCATTATCACTGCTGCTCTGGGTTGGGTTTGATGGGGACAGCTGAGTAGCCACGGCTTCCCTCAGCTCTGGCACACATGTGCTTTGTGTATCGCTTGCACACAACCATGCACACTATCCCTCACCAGCTACACAGACCAGGAAAAATGTAAATTACACTCGGCTCAATTCTTTGATGATTTTCGGAAAACCAGAGAGATTATCTCAATGCGTTTTTGTCCTTCTTTTTGTCATTTTGTAGCTGATCAAAAAGAAGCAACTTCCACGGACTAATTGCACAGATTAATGGCGTGATCCCCATGTAAATTGTGAGCACAAACGGGGATCTTTTCATTCTAGCTTTGGGGTGGGTGTATGACCTTTCAGTTTTATATCTTTCTCTTCTTGCCATATTGCAGTCAGGGAGGAAGTTAAACCCAGGTTTGACAGGTAGAGTTTTTTTTATTTCCCCTGACAGTGCACCTTTTGACCTCTATCTTCTTGCCAATGATTTTTTAAATCCTTAATGATTTGGGAATAATTGCTCCTCCTTTAGTGATTATTGCCCTTCACCGATAGTAAATCTGTGAAATCCCCGGGGGCTGGAGTACATTTTGGTATGCGTATGCCACAAGCTGGCCTGGACAGGCATCGCTGCTCATGTGCAGCTGCACTTGCAGGGCTGCTGGGTGTCTTGCAGGAAAACTTGTCTGGACGGAGTGAAATACAGCCCTGCTGAGCAAGCTTCCCCTCTGGAGGCTTTGGAGGGCCTGCCGAGCCACCCCGCGCTGCCCTTTCCTGCTTTCAGAGGAACCCAGGACTGAAAACAGAGGATGCACAGATGAGAGGAGGGGAAAAAAGGACAAAATCTGGCAAACTGCTCCCAGCCAACTCCTATTACCTATTTTCCCCCAAGCTGTTTTGAGAAACGTAATCGTTCCCACTAATCTGTTTTCTTCCTCTGTTTATACGCACTTTATTTACTAATTACTTCAAATTAACCCTTCATTTTCCCCCATCTCATGCTGGAGTGGTAGGGAAAAGCGGGCTGTCTACAGGGGATCTTGCATCAGGTATCTTAACAAGAACACGGGCATTTCTGTGAGCAGAGTGGGTAAGGATAATGGGCCAGTAAATAAGGATGAAAAAGATCGAGCTCTCCATCACGTGCTGGCTTTGAAGCAGTTTGTGAGCAGGGAGCTCGAAAGGCAGCGCTGCCTGTCCCACAGCCTCCTGCTGCTCTTTCCCTATGGACACGTTTTCCCGAGCTGTACCCGTGTTCCCACCAGTCTTTCCATCTCCTCGCTCCTTCAAAGAGCTCTCCAAGTGTGATCGCAGCCGTGTTGCTCCTAGGCAGAGTGAAGCCAGCGTGTGCACAGATAAAGCGTTGCAAAATGAGCTGCTCCGGTGTGGAGCTGGACAAATGAGCCTTGACTTGCAGGGATGGCCTATTGCATCTCCTCATCGGAGGGTGATGATAATCCCTCACGTGGATGGTATTTAAAAACAGCAGGAAAGATGAACTGGGCTGCGAACTGCTCTATTATAACCCCGTGTGCTGTACCCGATGTGTTACACAAAGGAGGATTTGTGTTTTATCAGCCGGAGCTGTTCCAGGTGTTCCTGTACACGGCTCAGTTAGGTGCACGAATGCTCTCCAAATGTCCTGCTTAGATAGGGCTTTAGGCATGTTCTGAGGCTTCCTCCCCGGATCTGGAAAGCTGCCACCCAAGGCAGTCCTGCCCCCATTGCCAGTGGCCCTTCTGACCCTCCCCAGCCCACAGGCAGGACGAGGACCCATTGTAACAGACCCTAGGCTCAAAACGTACAATTTCTTTAATAAGCAACAGTTTGCTTAGCAATTCCTTGTGTCTGATGTGCAAACATGAAAATAATCAGTTATCAAAAGCGTATGGAAGGAGCAGAGCAGTTCAGGCAGGAATTCCTCCTAACACTGTGCAAGGCGTACTGTTGTGAAAGCCTGGCAGTAAAGTTTATGTGGTAGGGGGCTGTTCAGCAAGAGGAAAATACAGCTAATGAACGTATTTTAAACAAAATTCAGCTTTGAAAAATCCCATATTAAAATTTGATAGATAAAATAGATTCTGTGTTTTCCAGAGCTGATGTGTTCCCCCCAGCTTTAGGTGCTGCCTCTCTTCTCTGCAGGGTAACCTGGGATGCCTTTGGGATATTGAAAGCCGATTTTATTATTCTTTTTTTCTTGTTACTTGTAGATCATGTGCTACTTTTTTGTCGAAGTTATGAAATGAAAACCCACAACCATTTTGAAATTTGAAGAGTAAGAGCAATAACTTTTATTGCAGAATGGTAGAAAGCACTTGAAATTTTGTAGGCACAGCTGTGAATGAAGTGAGCATGCACACTACTTTTTTTTTTCAGACATACAGCCAAATCCCTTCAGCCCAGCCGAAAAGTTTCTTCTCAGTTACCTGTTTTGGTAACCTGCTTAGCTGAGGTTGTTGGGATTTGCATAGATTTAACACAGACTGTGCTGTGCCTGTCCGTACCATGTCCCACAGTGCAAAAATCAATCAATCAGATGTTACACCGACAGCAGACTTCCCAAATTTTTGTGTCTACCTGAAACTGAGTTACATGTTATGGTGATCACAAGTTTTTGACTAGCTTTTAAAATATCAATTTTAAGGAAACTTTTCAAAGATACAATCCAAACAGTTTACATTAAGGCTAACATAAATGAATGGCTAGGAACATAATGGGGATAACTTAATAAAAGTCAATGTTTTGTCTGAATTGTGTGCCAAATCACTTTGGTTTTTGTGATGGATTACAAATTGTACGGATGTCTACTGCACTAGTATATTGCTCAAGGAGCTATAGCATGAGTTATAGTCAAGGTAGGATGACTTCTAATCAATATGATGACAATATTATCTTGTTTAATTTGTCTGATGGCAGCATTAAACATCAAATCAAGCTGTTTATTATGTCAAAGGAATGTGAAGCATGGCGGAAATCAAATTGACTTGACACCAGTTTTTCTGTATTTCATTGCTTTGACAGGCCATCATGATTGGAGATGATATTGTGAGTGATGTCGGAGGTGCCCAGCAGTGCGGGATGAGAGCTGTGCAAGTGCGGACAGGGAAGTACAGGTCAGTGCACGCCCTACACCCTGTGCAACACCAGGTTAACCATGGAAAGAGGGGAAATGACTGTAGGCAATGATTTTTGCACTTTCCTTTTTGCCGAACTACATGGTGCTCTTAATTTTCATACAATTCATTCATTTCTAAAAGAAAAGGAGGTGTGGTTTGGAACCTGGTACACCTGCTGAATAGTGCTTCAAAATGAATGCACGAGACCTGATTTTTTTTCCATGACTTTTCCAGATCTTTTCCTGTTGGTGGTAGACATTTGCCATCAACGTACACTTCCATTTGTTGACTGAACAAATACTTCCCTGGGCAGCCATTAGGCTTGGGTGGATGCTGACATTTTCATTTGCAAAACGCGTTTGAGAAAAGACTCTGTATGAAAGTGGCAGGATGAGAGAGGCTTGTTTTCTTTGATCTTTTCAAGAAATATTTTCTGCTTAATTACTGCTATAATTATGTATCGCATTTAGTGCATTGAGCTAGTGTGTTTCGTTGGGTTTTGCTTTTTTTTTACTACTGTGTGTAAGTGTTGTACACTTGATATCAGATGCGTCTGAAACTTGTAGCAGAGTCAAGATGTAAAATTAGACATCCACTCAGTGATCTCTGTGGGTCATCTCTCACAGCTTTCTGAAGGACTCCATATGTCTCCTATTTTCTCTAGATACACATTCAGCTCTGAGAAGTCTGGAATGTGAAAGCTGTTTCTCTGCTTCCCGTCTTAAACAGAGCGGGCTTCTGCAGGCCTGCTCACCTTGGCCTTTCAAACCTCTCTGTGTGCAGGTGGCTCCGTGATCCTGTGTATTCATTGACCAAAGAGCTATCAATAGCTGCTCCTTGTAGCTCTTGATAGCTGACCTGAGTGCAGTTATAAACATGGCACACTCCAGGGGTGCCCAGTGGAAAATTAAGCCACTATCTGTTGCTCAGGAAAGATAAGGCTTGAAGTTGGCCCAAGGTGACTCCAAATGCAACGCAGACATCGCTCCGTACGTTTAACATTTGGACTCCATAACACTCAAAATCTCCTTTTAGCCATACCTCTTTGCAGTAGGCATGGTTCAGTAACAGCATTTGTAATCTGACATCATTTATATTTGTAGTTTTTCTTCATTTTCAGATATTAAGACTGTAAAATAACAATTTTGGGGGAGAGATGCAACAAGTGGGAATGGTGCTTGCCGTAAGCTATCTGAAATGCTGTTTTGTTAGTTATCATGTGATGTTCTCTCTCGATTTTAGCTTATCTAAGTTGGTAAAATAATTCTGATGGACCAGTAAGTGATGATTTTGGGGAAAGAAAGTATATGGTTTGTGCTGTTGGGGTTATTTATCTGTGATCTGTGTAATCCCATTAACTGCCTAAAGGAGAGAATTAGGATTCGGCACTTGGTTTTTCTCTGATCTCGATGGCTATCACCAGACAGCATTCAGTGACTCCACGTCTTAATGTCGCACAGATACGAGTATCAGTGAAGGAGCTATCTCTGAAAACAGAGGTAAATTAGGCTCTTGCTGCTCAGCAAACATCTCCTGTGACATACGTGGCCCGCTGTAAAAATAAGGCACAGGTGATGCTGCGCCGAAAGCTCTCAGGCAGTTGGCACACATCTTTCTGTATAGATATGAACATGCACACACACACAAATATATAGAATCGTATGTTTGAAAAGCCTTTTCTCGTATCAAGCTTGAGCCATAATTTCAAATCTGAAAGGAGGTCACAGCTGTTACAGATGGGGGGAAAAAAAAAAAAAGATTATTTTCCATTGTTAAAAGTCCTGTTTCAATGCTCAGTTGCTGTTATCCAAAATATTACCATGTGGTAATGAAATACAGGTGAGTGTCTCAAAATTGAGCATGTGGTGCCAGTCCTATTGTTAACAATTCTGAGTAAAATAAAATAGTTTGTTTTTTTTTTCTAAGAGGCTAGAGATGCGTATGTTTTAAAGAGTGATTCATTTAGCATACGTGGGAAATTCAAAGACACAGTGAGTATTGAAAGAGGCTGAAAAAAGCATCTGGATAAAAGTTGATAGAAGAAATTAAAAATAACAGAAAATATAATTATTTCATGGCTGGTTTTCAGTCTGATATTGGTACGTAGGTCCTCCCTTGTATTTCTTGCTGACACAGATGTGCACTGCGCTCAAGTACCTCTGGATGGCACTGTTAGTACAGTTACTTCAGTAGTAGCTACAACTTCAGGCTGGAGCTCAGGCTGTTTTTGCAACAATTTGGGGGATAACTCGTGCATGTCGTTCTGTAGGTCCAAGGGATTCTGTTGTACTCCTCCATTCTCATCTAGATGGTGACCCTGGCTGGCAGAGTGTCATCTGTGGTGCGTTTGGGGCAGCATGCCTTATTGCAGGAGTCGCTGCAGCTGCTACCAACATCCGTGAGATCTGCTGCCCGCCAAGGGTTACACACCGTAGCACAAAAGATGACGTGCACCAAGGCTTCCTGTAAGGCTTGTTGTATTTCAAAGTGACTGCAGTGCTTGTGTGCAGGTTACAGGCTGCAGAGTAACTCTCTGCGTTTTTTTGGTGTGAATAAGCTAAAAGAAGAGGTCCTCTTTGTCCTGAAAGCCTTGCAGGTGAGCTGAAGGTCCAGAAGGGGTGTAGCGTGGAGAGCTGGTGTAGCTGCAGTGCTGCCTCCTTCCCTGTGCTCCCACACTTTTGGCTGGAGCTGGGCTCTGCAAGGGCTTGGTGCTGGCTACTCCCAGGGTGAGATACAAGTGTGGAGTAAGCTGGTGCAAAAGCACTCAGTTTAACACCACCTTACACCAGAGGTCCTGAAAATTAACACCCTTCTCTCACCTTTTTTTTGGATCATAAAGTTTAGTAAAATTAGCGTAGTCAATTCCTTTTATTTTGACAAGGTTTGGCGTCTTCTCACTTCTGCATCTGCGCTTGTTCCTCTCCTCAGAAGCACCCGATCTTCCAGCAGGACATAAGCGTTGGTCTCTTCCTCAGTAGCCAAACCAGGCATGGAGTACGTTTGCCCATAAAAAGCAGTAAATCATGGAATAAAACCTCTTTTGTCATGAGTCAGGACAGTAATGGAAGGGTGTTGGTGTAAGGTGGCGTTTTGGGTTGATCTCAGCCAGCAGGGTTCTCCAACACGGGGTGAGTACTTTGCTTAGCCAAATGCAGCCTTTTTTAGGTGTGTACACTCCAGGTGTCACGTTGGATCTGGTCTGGGGGTGTCACCGCCCTCAGTCACCCCTTCCTGCCACGCTGTGCACATCAGGTGTGTGCTGCGGGCTCCTGTGGACCGAGAGGAGGCAGCGTTAGGTTTTCCAGCTCTGGGAAACGTGGTGCTAATTGAGACGTTTCTGTGCACACCTGTGTGGAGCACCTTCGTAGCCAACATCTTTCCGATCTAGGGCAGAACACGTACTCGCCTTCCTGCACAGGGTATGTGCTAATTCCACTTGCAGCTAATTGGCCTTGACATCAAACCAATAAATTCCACCATAACTATTGATCCTGCAATGCCGCCTGATGTTCTTGTTCCTCTTTGCAGTGTGCAAGTTAAAGCAGAGAAAAAATGACTTTGAGGCTCTTCCAGCTGTCTCCCCGTAAAATCAGAAACAGCTTTCAGTGCATCAGCTTGATTTGTGACAGGGCAGGAGAATCCCACCTCTCTCCTTGCTGTTATTTACAGGGTTTGATTTATAGGCAGTGAGCTCAGCAGAAAGCCTTTGCAGTAATACTGCAAATAAACCAGAGGTGGCAGTGTGCAGACCCCTCACAGAAGCACCTGCTGTCCCTGCTGGCCTGTGCAACATCCCTGAGCTCTCTCATAATGCTACAGGTGAAAAATAGAGCAGGGATAAAAGGGGCCCGGGACAGCTGCCATCTCCTGCTCGCTCTGCCACTGCCCTCTGGGAGAAGTGGGTCAGGTTACTTCACGTTGTCCTTCTTTGGTTTCCCCACTTTGTAATCATCCACTGAGAATAATTGTCCTGACTTTATTAAGAAAGTGGTTTGTGATCTGTTCCTCTTATCTGATCGAAGAAAACATACGGAATTTTGGAGCTTTAAAGGAAATCAGCTTGCCAGATGTGATCAAGACAGAAGCCGTGACAGAGGAAGATCTTTTGGGCTGACATCATCAACTGACTAAGGATTCAGAAAAACAGGGGTGGGTCTTCATAACAACCTCCTAAATGAGGTTATTAAACGATTCTTAGAAGCGAGTTTCCACCCGGGGATAAATTCACAGCTACCACAGCCTGTATAAGAGTAAATGAAAGATCACGACACCTTTCACAAAGAAACGGGCACACCTTACTGCTCTGCAAAGATCCTGAAACGGGAGCAGCATCCCTCCCACCCTCGCTTTCTTGTTCCCCGAATTGCTAACCACAGCCAAGATGAACGAATTTATGAGCTTCGTGTTTCGTGGCTCTTGATGGAGCATACCAGAAGTGCGGAATGAGAACTAACGCGCAGGGGCACTCCCTTCGTGCTGAAAGAGAACCAGAGGCATTTGGATGGCCTCACAGTCCTGGTAATTAAGCCTGTTTCAAGTACTAAATGGAAAGGTTTCCAACCCGTGTTTGCACTATAAATGGTGCGTTATAATTTATGGTGGTGTCTTAAGTAATGTTTGTTAACATCTAGTGTCAGCAAGGCAGTCCTGGTGTGGTGTGATAGCTGATGGCAGCAAATCCGGAGGCATAGGCTTAGTCACCATTTGTTACGTGTTCAAATCACGGTTTGTTCTGTCCACGTGAGGAGCTTCACGTGTGTATATCGGCGTCTTGACCACACTTGGGTTACCCTAATCTTTGAATCAGCTTTGGGAAGGAAGTTCGGAGTTAATGCTGCAGTTCCTTAGCATATGCTCATCTGATGGCAGCCTTAATTTTTCTCAATATATCATAATGTTGAGACAGAAATTACAATTTAAGACTGTGGTGCTGTAGGAGTGAATGGCCTAGGAGAAGATGTAAGTTCTCGCTGCTGTAATGGGGGGTTATAATCCTGCCAGCCCCTTTTTATCATAGGATATAGCCAACTGCCATGCAAAATAAAGAAATGCACTGGGAATACCTTATTACTGGACTACAAGTGGTGAAACTGGAAGTAGAAGATTTTATCGTTGGACTCTAGAGAGCAATCTTTGCTGTGAAATAATATAAAGTGAAATGCTATATATATATATATTATTAGCAGGTTGACGTATCCATTGATACCCTGATAAACCTTGAGGAAGCAGATTGTGCTCAGGGCCATGCTGGGTGCTGCATGCATGCTCCTGTGCTGTCCTGAAAAAAAGAATAAAAGAATGAAAAAAAAGAATGAGAAAAACAGTTTGTGATGTGAGTGTCAGGTTAGTGAGGAAATGTAGCATTACCCGGCAGTGTTGCCAGTTGCACTCCCTACCCAAGGACCCCTTTATCTGCAGCAGCCCAGCTCTGATCAGCGGCTACATCGCCAACCTTTCTGCGAGGAAGCAATTTGCATCTCGCAGATCAAGATGCTAGTGCCCGCATCAGCTTGTGCTGCACTTTTGCTTCCCCTCTTCCTTCACATCCCCGCGGTGTTCAGCAGGGGTTTCCAGCGAGCGTGTGCCTCCTGCACGGTGCCTGGTTTGCTGCAGCCACCCGTGGTGTCCTGGGGAGCTGGCAGGCTCCGTGCCCTGCTAGACCCCAGCCTGATGAGCACAGTTTACGAGATGGGACAGGAAGCAGGCTCGCGTTTATTTTTATCCTTCCTGGCCTCTTCTCAGTGCCTATGTAATGTTGCAGGAGTAAAAATTCCTCAGCAGAACCGTCATGGGAGCTGCTGGAGCGCAGCAGCGTTTCCCAACACTTGTCACTCGCAGGATGCCAAGCCGTGTTCTCCTGCTCAGCATTTGACAGCGGCGACGAGCACCACGCCGCTCGCTGACTGCTGTATTTCTGCACGAAAATGCTAACGAGCCCGCCGAAATGTGCTGCAGAAGCGGCAGAGCTGGGACAGCTGCACAATTGCGGTTTCCCTCGAGGTTTCCTTTTTCAAGACGCAGGTTCCTCTTCTCTGCCTGTTTTCCTCCCGTAGCTAAATGTCATCCCGGCCAGCGGAGCCCTGCAGTAGCCCAGCGAGCGGCGCGGCAGAAGGGGAACTGCTCCGAGCAAACCAAAGCAGAGCACTCGTTTCGGAGAAAGAAGCAAACAAACAAGAGAGAAGCAGGCCAAACGAGCTGCTGATGTAACTCCCTGGAAGCAAACGATTCAGTATCTGAAATTTCATCTCCCTTCTGGCTGGGGCTCCTGCTGTAAACAGGCGCAGGAGCGGCTGCTCTGGGGCAGCACCTTGTGCCGGCGCCCTGCAAGCACAAAACAAGCAACAATTTGTGCTTCGCTGCCCTGCTGCCTGGCCTGCAGCTGCTCAGGGCTTACCTGGAGGCTAATTTACTGCCACTCATTTTCTGCTCTGCTTCGAGGTAGATAAGAGTGAGTTTAGCCAACAAACCCGAGCAACTGGCTAGCCCCCAGCATGGTTTTTGTGCTCTGGAGATGCTTGAAGGGCTGTGTGCTCAGGCACAGGGTCATGCAGCTGGGGGTCCTGGAGCTGTGCAGGGGACTCTGCTGCAGGCAGGTGGCCTTTTGGCCACGGAAAAACAAGATATGGGGAGTGCCCCCCTTGAGGTTGCCTCTGCTGTGCTGGGTCTAGTGGCTGCTTTTCGTGCCCTTGTGAAGACACGATGCGACTTGCCTGGAGTTAAAAATAAAGCACCCAGCGGTGCAAGCTTATAGGTCTGCAAAACTACGATGGCTCCATACATGAGAGCTTGTTTTGAAGGAAGACACAGAGTAATGTGAGAAAAGGGGGGTGGCTGAAGAGCACGGCTCCCCCTCTGCCCTCTCCAGCACCCAGCAGCGCTCGTCGGAGGAGATGAAGATAGCTCGCAGCTGACGCTTGGATGTGACTCATGTTCACACATCGCCCTGTAACTATTACGATTCTTACTTGTTTGTGGTTTTCAGTCATTGTCAACAGCGTGTATGGTTACACCTCAGCCCCGCTCGCTTGCAGGTTGCCAACAGATGGGCTAATTCAGCCTGCTGGGACGGTGCTTTGAACGGGCTCGGTGTCCTGGGCAGCCCCAGACAACATTAGGCTCCCAGGGCATGGTTCGCCTTGCGTTGCACAAGTCCCCCCTTCAGACTCCATGCAGCACATGGCACTGAGGAGGGTGCTGAGCTGTTCTCCTTGCCCTGCTGGAGGAGCCAGGACAGGCAGCAGAGCTGTAGCTCCAGGAGTGCAATTGGAGCCCACGGAATCAGCTCCTCAGCTAAATGCTCCCCGGGGCTGTGGCATTTCCTGACCCGGTGTGGTACAGACACTCACAGACAAAGCGTTTGTTCAAATAAACAAGATATATTACAATAAATAATACAATAATGATGCCGTGCCTTAAAACGCAGCTTTGTACCAAGTGACTGTATCGTGAAACTCAGGGGCTGCTGAGAGCAGGGGCTATTAGCCATGTCACAATTCTGGGAAGGGTTTTTTCAAAGCACAAGTCCATTTGCTGTGGTAAAAGAGGACTCCCCACATCTCTACAGGGTTTAAAGATGACAAATGAACCACGGGTCTGCAATCGAGCAGCTGCCCTGCACCAGGATGGGCATTCGCTGCTGCCTTACGCCGGATATACTCCAGCTGGGAAGGTTTAAAGCTTTTCCTTCACACCGTTACTCTTAACAAAAAGTACCAGGGATCAAAAGCTAAAACATTTCACCACCGAGTTACAAAGAGAGGTTGGTCTCTCAGTCACAAGTGCTTCAAATTTTCACATAAAACCAAGTGCGACATGGAAACTGTGTCCACGTCCTCCTCTGGAGGTACAGCACACGTTTAACCATGCAAGCACATGTTCTTGCAGCTTCTTTTGGGACTCCGAGACCAAATGCTGCCTGTGGTTGTGCTTTAGGCATCTTTGCTACAACAGCAGGATAAATATATAATGAGAATTTAACAGGCAGAAGGCAAACAGCTAACGGAGACGCCCGATGCAAACACCACGGGGAGCTCTCACCAGCTGAAAGGCGCGATGAATCAGTGGGCATCAACACAGAAAGCTGGAGGTGCCCTTGTCCGAAGAGCACAGGAGTCACCCGGCAGCACGCAGAGGGAAAATGACGGTAACTTTGGCAGGAAAACTGCCTACTACAGTTTTACACAGTACCATCTTTAAAGAAAAAGAAACTCAGCACATAAACGTGAGGAAATGGGTTCGAGCAATTTGGATTTAGGACAACAGCAAGGTCACCGATGCTACCTGAACACAGATTTTGGTAAAATCGGTGTAGGAATCAGTAAAATCAGTGGTAGGAATCACTTGTGGATAGGGCTTGGAATGGCCCTGGGCACCCTGTGGCCCTGCTGGAGCAGATAGGACCAGATGGAGCCAGAGGTCGCTGCCAACATCTGCCAGTCTGTTCATCGTGCTAAGGGCCTGAGAGGGACTTTTTTTTTCTCCTCAGTCCTATCATCTCTCCTAGAGACACTGACAAGCTGCCCAGACTCTCTTCTGATCCGTGGTCTCTATCTTCCTCCTCCATCTTCCGTCCCTTCCTTCCTCGTGGCCTCCTTCCTTCGGTTCACGGTCACAGCGAATGTGCTGCCTGATTTCCAGCTGACACGAGCCTTCAGAGCTCCCCTGCAGAAAGCAGCGTTTTGAAAGCTTTTCCAGCTTCCCCTCCAGATGAAGTCACCCTGGGCGGGTGCCAGGCTGGGTTCTGAGCGAAAATTCACTTCAGGGTCAGACGCGCTCCTAATTTTAGGCCTGATTTCAGTGGATCGTCAAGTCCAAGGCCTGGCTCCACACAGGCCCACCCAAAAATTCGCAATATAAGACTGGGAGCACAGTCCAAACGCCTCTTCAACTCCTGTCCCAGTGTGTGACCACCCTCATGGTGAAAATCCTCTTCCTGATGTCCAGCCCAAACCCCCCCTGCCTCAGCTTGACCCCATTCCCTTGACGGGCTCCGCTGCTCCCCGCTGAAGAGAGCGGCACCCGTGAGGGGAGCAGAAGGACAGCTTTTGGCTGAGGACTCCGAGGCCACCTCCCGTTCATACAAAGCGGGTACAAAGGCCTATGTGGAAAGAAAAACCTGTCTGCATTTAAATCAGCCTAATTAACGTGGCTTTTTCCAGGAGCAGCGCTGAGCTGGCAGGCGCTGCCGCGCTGCCTGCCCGGGGTGATTTGTGCAATTACCGTCCTTTGTGTTTATCTGATGGGGTTTTTCTTACAGCAGGCATTTATGGGTTGCTGCTTCTGAAGATACCCACGTACCGTACATTATTTTATGTTTAGAAGTAGCGGAGTCTGTAAATAGCAGAGTGTAAGAAAGTTTGGGGGGGCTCTGCTGATTTACACCTGCCCGTGCTCTGGCCTGCTGGGCGCTGGGAAACAGCTTAGCAAGTGTAAAAGAACAAAAAAAAATGATTTCTCCATCCATCTGGAACACATTGCATGCATCAGGGGAAGGAGAGGCATTCGTGAGAGTGAACGCCTCATTTATCAGTGTGGGGGCTATTGAAAAGCCTGGCTGCGGCCGGGATAATTATAACCCAGATCGGTCTTCATGGAATGGAGAAGTAACGACAACCCTAATTTTACCAAATCCTCTGAAATTTACTGTCTATTTATTTAACACCCTGGGCCCTTTCCTGTGTCAGAGAACCGGCTAGATTTATGGAGGTGCAGCTCAGTAATCTAAATACTTGGGAGTTCATCCGCGCAGGCCGGGGGCTGCTCTGGTTTTTCTCCTTGTCACCGCTCCGGGGCCGTGGGAACAGGGAATGCAGGCAGGACAGCAGCAGAGGCCTCGGGAGGCACCGGCCAAAAATCAGGCTCAGGCACTCAAAACTCTCTCCTGCCACTTGTTGTGCAGGCAAGAAGTACCTGGCCTTTGGAGGCAGCTTTTGCTGTGGGTGCTGAGGGGAAGGGAACAAAGCTTCTCTTGTCCCTGCTTCAAGGAGTTCCTATTTTCTCTCTTCTTGGTGTATTTTTGTTGTGTTTTGTGGTGTTTCTGGTGTTTCTTTTTTTTTTTTCCTTCATGCATGTCAGCGTGAGGAGAGGCAATGTGTCTAGGAAAGGAAAGGAAAGGAAGGAAAGGAAGGAAAGGAAAGGAAAGGAAAAGGAAAGGAAAGGAAAGGAAAGGAAAGGAAAGGAAAGAAAGGAAAGGAAAGGAAAGGAAAGGAAAGGAAAGGAAAGGAAAGGAAAGGAAAGGAAAGGAAAGGAAAGGAAAGGAAAGGAAAGGAAAGGAAAGGAAAGGAAAGGA